CATGGTACCAATCAGTCTGCACCGGCTTTCTTGCAAATAAGGCGTATTTGCATGCTGGTATGCACTTTTGCAACAACACTTTCATGGCTCTTGTGGTATTTGACGACTTGTGGAGTTAAATATCACTTAGTTAAAACAATAAAAAGTTAACGAGATCAAACTAGTACGTTTTATTTTCAATCAAGTTCAGTTCAAAGAGAAGAAAAATATCTACTGCAAAAATTTAAATATCTTCTTCATATTGCGGAACCTAGAAACTGGCAGCTGAGTTATTCTACTCAAAGAAGACGTACGTCTTCTGAACCGTAAAAGAATAGAATTCTCCCTTGAGGAGATTACGCATCTACCCGGAGCGGGTGGACTTGCAAAAGTATCCATGGCTTGATCTAGTGATCATGCAACTAGCCTATTTTCCCGTGCTAACCATTATGTAGCACTGCTTGCAGGAAAATAGTATTAATTAGGAAAATGGTATTCGTGCGTGGTGTTCGAGTTGAGTGAACAGTTATTGTAAAGGATGATCACAGCCTATTATCTTGTAATCATTCTTTATGCCGAAGGCAGAGAATAGTACTTATAACCTATTATACCTTGGTGTTGAATCAATATATCCTGCATGTCCATATATTAATTCTACTATATATCCTATGTCATATAGTAACGTATTATAGCAAAATAAGTAAACTATATATCCTAAATGACAACCTGTTCAGCCTTATACGAGGTAGCTAATCTCGTATAAGAATCATCACTTATTCTATATTCGTTTCGTACTCTACTTTATATTATTTCAGCAGTAGTAAGATGTGAGGATCTTGTATAATTTGTATACGAGTTCTCCACATCTCATATGATGCTGTCAACTAAACACAACACTTAATTCACGGTACTCATATATTAGAGTTTATGTAGTTTCTAATTATTTCTGGTTTGCAATATTGTATAATTCATCTTTATCCTTCATAAAGTGAATTATATCTTTAATATTTGTATATCATCTACCCTCAAATACGACAGCTCTCTCTTTTCTTTTTTTTTTTTCTTTTTTTTGTTCAGTTTTCTTTTTTTATTTAAAGATGTGATGCATTTGCATTTTCCGAGTTACATTAACGAATGACCTAGCTTATAAAATGACCTAGCTTATAGTTAGGACTTCGATCAGTCAATTCATAGATTCATCGACGAATATTCAAACTTTTAGAGGACAGTGTATATGTTGAGTCTTTTTTTTTTACATATATCCATTCTTCCTTTATTTTATAGTATTGGTTCTGAAAGAATCTTTCCGTTCCATATATATATAAAAGAGCGATACTGAAGCAAAACTACAGCACTTTGTTAACAGTGTGATTTCCGTTTGACATGGCTACATAAATCAATCAATTAAATTTGAAGTAGCATTGCTGACTTATAGTTGTTGAACATCGTTTGCTGTTATTAGTTTTGCGAGCTTTTCAGTCTTTTAAAAAATAAAAAAATAGACAGGTATGAAGAAAACAAAACGGAAAAAATAGCTACTGAAAACTGGAATGACTAGTTGGCATTGACTAGAATTTATTCTATATAGGTAGATAGCAAAAATTGACTTTTGAAGAGAATCGTAACAGATGAGTGATTGCAAAGTAAATGCTCGTTGTATATGTATTGCTAAAGCTTCATTTTTAACACTGATGAAATAAAAAACGAAAAAGGTAAAAGATTAAAAAAGACGATTTCTGCTGTGTACCAGCTTAAATTAGAGCCATATTCTTTCCTTTTTTTTTTTTTTTCTTTTTCGACATTTACTTATTTATTCACTTTTACTTTTTTTAAAGCACTATCACCACTTTTGCGATATTTTCCAACTCTAACTTTGACTTTTAAAGCTGTCATTCACATCGTTCGACTGCTTAAATGCTCAATTACGTGTCAAACGGACCGATGGAATCTTCAAACTGATTAGTTTCTTTTCCTCCCTGTTCAACACGCTCCTTTTCAACAAAGTTATACTCGACTATACGACGACTATACAATGGGAGAGAAAGTAAACTTGTACGATCGGTTTGAGTGAAAGAGGCAGCATAACTTGTATTTGATTTTTATTGAATTATTTTTATGAATGTAAAAAACCCACAACTACTGTACAGTTTGAAAGATAAGCAATATGGAGACAATAGTAATCTTTTTCAACGTGCGAGTCGATGCTTGGTTTTGCAATGATGGCTTTATTGTAGATTGAGAATTATATGAATCGAACAAGTTTAAAGAGCAAAAAGGATTCTAAAGTCACCAGCATTTTTTAACAAGACAGGATCAATAACATCCCCGGGATATATCACCGATTTGTATGCTTCAGCGTCGACTTTGTTGCTTGGAAGAATGTTGAAGGTGCTTATGAGACCAACAGGACAGAGGATATCAGTCGTTTCAAACACAACGTACTTCTTGTTCATATCAGTTATTGGTTTGGCCTTTGGCACGTTGAAATTGAAGATACAGTAGTGACATAAAGCGATACCAATCATTGAGATTGTAAATGTGCCTGTCGTATTTGAGTGTAGATGATATATAAATATTAAAGATATAATTCACTTTATGAAGGATAAAGATGAATTATACATTATTGCAAATCAGAAATAATTAGAAACTACATAAACTCTTATATATGAGTACCGTGAATTAAGTGTTGTGTTTAGTTGACAGCATCATATGAGATGTGGAGAACTCGTATACAAATTATACAAGATCCTCACATCTTACTACTGCTGAAATAATATAAAGTAGAGTACGAAACGAATATAGAATAAGTGATGATTCTTATACGAGATTAGCTACCTAGTATAAGGCTGAACAGGTTGTCATTCAGAATATATAGTTTACTAATTTTACTATAATACGTTACTATATGACATAGGATAAATAGTAGAATTAATATATGGACATGCAGGATATATTGATTCAACACCAAGGAATAATAGGTTATGAGTACTATTCTCTGCCTTCGGCATAAAGAATGATTACAAGATAATAGGCTGTGATCATCCTTTACAATAACTGTTCACTCAACTCAAACACCACGCACGAATACCATTTTCCTAATTAATACTATTTTCCTGCATGCAGTGCTACATAATGGTTAGCACGGGAAAATAGGTTAGTTGCATGATCACTAGATCAAGCCATGGATACGTCTACAATTCCACCCGCTCCGGGTAGATGCGTAATCTCTTCAAGGGAGAATTCTATTCTTTTATGGTTCAGAAGACGTACGTCTTCTTTGAGTAGAATAACTCAGCTGTCAGTTTCTAGGTTCCGCAATATGAAGAAGATATTTAAATTTTTGCAGTAGATATTTTTTTCTTCTCTTTGAACTTAACTTGATTCAAAATAAAGACTTACTAGTTTGATATCGTTAAGCTTTTTACTGTTTTAACTAAGTGATATTGAACTCTACAAGTCGTCAAACACCATACTATTCACACGTAACAAGTCGTCAAGTATCACGTCTTCTGTAGAAGCAGCAAGCGATAGATGTCATTCAATTCGCGTCTACATAATCAAAACGTTGTTCGAGACGTGAAACTCGTTCAGTAAGGGACATTTGAGCGTTTTGAACAGCTTTTTCAAATGGCAACATCTTTTTAATTGATAATATTGAAAAAGGCACACATATTAGTAGTAGTTTTAGACAGAGAAGTTTGGATTACTTGAAGAAATGATGACTGTAATGAAAGGAATTGATGTGAAATAAGTTTTGCAAATGCTTGTGTTTTATATACTTTTTACTTTTAAAAGCGCTGTCCCTCGTTCTTCCCCTTTTTTCCCCCTTTCACGCGTAGTTTACTTGCTGTTCAAGAGTCAATTTTGCAGTTCGTAACGAGATGTAATTTTCTAACCCAAATCTTCTTGATTATAGACTGTCCTATTTTTTTAATATATTGCCCCATTTTTCTTCAATATGGCCCAAAGAGTTTTTTTTTTGTGTCGAACATATTTTATTCAGCTGCAGAGAACATGTAATTCAAGTTGTCACAAAAAGTAGTAATTTTTATGGAAGATCGTCGTGGGAACATATCTGATGAAACTGATGCTGAGCTCTGGATATTATAGATGAGAACCCAATCTTTTTGCTATCAAAAAGCTGGTCAGTGTTGACACGTGCCTTGAAAATGCCATAGTACTTCAAATGAAGAGCAACAGCAGCAATTGGACGATGTGGCTCAGGTACCTTCAAAAAACTTAATGCAAGACCCACCAAAATATGCTAATAATAGTGAATCTACACAAGAAGATTAGTGTTTTAAGTATGCTAATAACCATGGGTATCCGTTAGACCGGCTGCATTCAAAGCGGGTATGAAATAGTACGCGGACTTGATGGAAACAATATAATGAGGATCCAGGTGTATTTGTCGAGGGCAAGAAGACCAACCGTCAAAACAGACCGATATCTCAACCACAGGATGACCTTGAATTATTTGACGAGAACACGGCTGTGAATATTTAAATTGCTGTTTTAATGCTTACCAGCAGGCCCAACCATCAAATATACATGTATTCATGCGGGACGAATGCAATTGAGCTGGAAGCAAACGACTTTATGGTCGGAAGCACGGGCAAGTTCACTTACGATGACGAAATACATCGGAAGTAACAATTCATTGGACGTATGGAAGTAGAAAAGTTCCTCAATGAGAGAAGCAGAAGTTTAAGTGTGTATTACTCACGTCTTACTCTCCTGAGCTAAACCGGTCGAACAATCTGGGCTTTAGTCAAAGGTTTGGCATTATAAGCTTGCAGATACCGAACTCGCGAAAATAGAATTATTGTGACTTCAAATCAAATATTATTGTACATATAGCCAACATCATTGATCATTTGAAAAAGCAGTTCGCTAACTGCTTAAATAATGTAGCAGTTAGCCCAATTTATCCATGAGATAAAACCTCTCACATTCCACTAATTCAGCTTCGAACAATTATGGATTATTTTTTTTTTTTTGCTTGTCAACCAAATGTCATTTTTAAAAATCCGTGAATTTATTCCAAAGAAACGACTAGATGTATTTTCTGCTTGAAATAGAATTTATTTTTCATCTATTTTTTATTTTTCAAAACATTTCTTGAACGAAAGGGACGCTGATAAGCTTCTTGGTTTCTTTATATTGATAATGCGTTGAAGGGTCGATAGATCTATATTGGAGATTTTTCGCCTGATCTTGTCTTGATTTTCGACGTAAATCCCTGCTACAATTTATTATCTGTTTAACTTATCGAACGAGCTTAGCCAGCGGAAGTTGACTGAGATATTTAGCAGTTTCGAAGGAAAACAGTTCAACCATTAAATATAATCCATCTACACAAATGAATATATGGAAAGAAATATAGAAGCCTACGTCACGAGAAATGGCGCGGTAGATTATAAGAAAAGTTAGCAATGACTAAAAACCTTTTTATCAGCCTGCAAACTCTTACCAACAACTTGTACTGCAATCATGGAGTTTTGACTGCTTTGATTCTCCAACGCATCTTTACAGAAGGCAATAAGCCGAAGGATATCTTCATGCCTCTTCAGTGAATCACTTTTTTCTACTTTTATTTCAACGAAACCAACTGAACCAGCAATCCTCCTTTGGTTCATTTTATAAATGTGACCCTCTGGTCTTCTGGTTTCTGTGTCTTGAATTTGCTTGTTTAACCTAATTTGGTAGGAAAACATTTACAATAGACTATCAATCAATAAATGTAATACTTAACAGTACAACATATTCATGTACCATCGAAAATATATGTTTTCTTCTGGATCGTGAAACATGGGGTACACAATAGGATCAACATAATTTCCTTGCAGTTCTGCTTCTCCAATCTCTTCATCCAACCGGGTGAACAGAGGGAGCTTATTGAAGCTATTCTTACTATAATGAAAAGTACAGTGTAAGTTATTTACTATTATCGAATTATTTTGAAAACTTACCAGTTGATTATTATTTCGATTAATTTGTAATCGACATCATCAGCTTTTTTCAACAACTCAGTTAGCTTTTCTTTTGCTCCCCGTCTGCCATCTTGGGGACGGAAATCCTACGAAAGATAAAAAACAATTATCAACACTCAAATAATGTATAAAGACAATCTTCTATAGAGACAATCTTTCACCATGTCTTACCCGTAATATTTCTGAAATCTTGTTGAACAAATTGGTATCAAATTTCACATTCGAATCCATGTAAGCTTCGATTATGGTATTTCGAAGTCTATCTAAGTTTGTAGCCCCAAAATGAGTGATTCTGCCTATCGCTATATTCATTTTCTTTTAAAAATAGAACACGCGATAGGCATTTATAGAATCAGTGTTGGGGGGTATTTGCTTAGTTGAAATTGACAACTGTTGTAAGTCGATGACAATGAACTTAAGTGTCTTAATATCTTTCAGATGAACAAAAAGAAGACGGTAAATAATTGCTGGTGGAATTTACATTATTGTGGGGACGCGTATGCTAGTCTCTAATTTCAGATACAGATGCTTGGTGTGTGATTATTATATTTAGGCCTGTATCTTGTTGTATGTTGTACATAAGCTGTATTAGATGCAATATAGATAGACCGTGGTAGAATGTATTCTCTACCTGGTTGTACGTACTTGAGTATTGTAGTTGTTATCTCACCAAACACGTCATAACACCCCTCTTCAGATGAAATATCGTCCATTGAAATTAGAGGCGAGGATACAAATTTTGAGTGTACTTATATGATGTTAACATGAGCTATAATAAGAACTTGAACGTGCACTCTCAAAACCTAATATTTGATTCAATTTTGACGCATTTCTGTGAGCTTGCCATGATCAACCTGTATTCGTTGATTTGAGGACAATGAGTGAAGTGATTATACATGTATGGTATATTATCAATTGAGTAGTGTGCATACGATAGATTAAAGTCATACCAGATCCATTCCAGTTCATCTGATGTGGATGAATGCCGATAAAACCTAGTGGGGAAAAAAGGTACAACTCGAATGTCCCTATGATCTAGTCACTTTATAGTTTACTGCGTTTGCTACGACGCATAACACGATCCTCTGATGTTGAGGTGTGCTTATTATTAAATCTCCTGCGTTTGCTATTTCCTGATGTTGAATCTGTACGCATATTTACTGTATGCAAGTCTTTTTCCAAAATCATCTGCATCCATAAATTGCTTAATCATCTGTGATTTCTTAAAACTATTTGTTCCTAATTCATGTCTTTATGGGAGAGTTTAATTCCCAATCGTCTCCAGTACTCGTTGATTGCTTCAGGATCAGTGAAGTTTTCAAGTGGAATCCAAGAGTCATCATCCTTGGTATAATTTTTCCAGCGCACAAGATATTCCCTATTGCCTGGTTCTTCGCGGTGAACTATAATTGCTTCAATTACATATAATTCTTCTGCAAGTATGATTTCCTCTTGTGATATCAGCCTTAGTTCTTCAGGTGAATAGTTGCGTGACATTAATATGCCTTCTTCATCTTTTAATATGTATGATCCACCTCGTGTTTTCCTGACTACAGTGTATGGTCCTTGGGTATGCGGGTAACAAATTGTTATAACATGTTCTCCTTCAGGATAGTCTATTATTTTATGCTTACCATCAGCAACACTCTTTTGCTTCGAATGTTAAAACTCTATAATAAATCGGTTCTCCTATCAGTATCTCATTCAAAACTGAGCAGACTTTCGTCCAACCACATCTCTTGCCCCCACATTCCTAATTTTTTATCTCTTTGCTGTTTCTATAGACAGTTTTTTAGTATTTTTAATAACGCCCTGTAGGTATTTAGGATTGCAGTTAGAGGCTTACTGTTCAATAGCGCTAATCTAAATAAAAACAAAAACTCTAGTCTGACTCCAATTCTCTGGCTTCTAATGACTTTCATCAAATGCAGCCGCTATTTCAGATGGGGACTAAATTGGCTCCCTAACAATTCTCTGCACATATACACTTCCAAAGCGGACTATTACGAAAGACCATACCATTGAGTGCCTAAATAGGCAACCGTCTGCAGCTTCCATCAATACTTTTCCCCAAGACTGATCTGTTAGGCCAGCTCCTAGCCAAATCAATACACAGCGAGCCAATGCTCACGTCAACTGGAGTATATCATAGCCAATTGTTCAATTGCTACATCGGAGGTCGTTTACCTTCAACATGACAGATATTACCTGATTCGCTTTATGCCATGACTTGGTAATCCCTTTATCCCATAGTCAGCTTCATGCTGCACTGCTTCTTTTCTTCTCATTCTATATCTTTTTCACCTATCCTGGGCAATTTTGACAAGTTTATCTGTGTGGCCATTGCGTTGCACCATTTTGTCAATCAAACTTTTTTTTGAACGAAATAAAGCTGGTACCGAAAGACCCTATCGAATGTTAACAATATCAACCTCCCTGAAATTAGCTTACTATCTTTATTTCTAGTAATTTTCCCCTCGTCCCTTGGTCTCTACAATATGAATGGTTTTTCGACCATCGAACGTTGGGTTGGAGTGAGAAGGACCTTTAAAGATTGAATTTAATCGAAATCGGTCAAAATTTCACCAAGTCCGACTTAGTACTCGTCCGCTAAAAAGACGTACAAAGCAGACAAATTGTACCTTTTTATTACACTTAAGTCATGAATTTTCCCTTTAGCAAAAGTAGCAATCAACAAACACAGCAACAACAAGCTTTTAATGCTGCAGCCAATGAAAGCACATACTACTATCAACAACAACAGCAACAACTGCAATCACAGCAACCACTTCAACAATTACATCCTCATCTACAACAACAACAATTAATACAACAACATCAGCAAATTAATAACGCTGTACCTCATCACTATGGTTATCCCTCACAAATTTCACAACAAACTCAACGCTTAACAGAAGGAATTCCAAGAAGTATTTTAGATAGAGCTACTGCGGCTAAATTACGTTTGGAGCATTATTATAAAACAGCATTAGAACAGGCTCATGAAAGAAACCAAAGGTATAAAAAAAAAGGACTAGTATTTTAAAAAAAAAGCGTTGAAGAGGTGTAAAGGTTATTGGTAGAAATCTTGCTCCTCACATTTCTTTTCTAACAATACAGACGAACAGAAACAGAAAGCAGATTAGCAACCGAACATTGCAGCGAAGAAAAGAAAAAAAGACAACTCCAGTCTCTAGGGCGTAAAGAATCACAATACCTCCGTCTAAGAAGAACACGTTTAGGTTTGGATGATTTTGTTACTGTCAAAGTTATTGGTAAAGGTGCATTTGGTGAAGTACGTTTAGTACAAGCAGGCGATACAGGGAAAATCTATGCTATGAAGACTTTAAAGAAATCAGAAATGTTGAAAAAGGATCAACTAGCCCATGTGAAAGCAGAAAGAGACGTTTTAGCTGAATCTGACTCGCCTTGGGTTGTTCAACTCTATTTTAGTTTCCAAGATGCGCAATACCTTTATCTTATTATGGAGTTCTTACCGGGTGGTGATCTAATGACCATGTTAATCAAATATGATACGTTTAGTGAGCCAGTGACAAGATTTTACATAGCAGAGATTGTCTTAGCTTTGGAGGCTATTCACAACCTGGGTTTCATTCATCGGTAAGCCAAAGAAAGTATGCATCATAGTAGAAGGAGATCGATTTATCTGTCTTTCATGTAAATAGTGACATCAAACCGGACAATATTTTAATTGACAAGGATGGGCATATCAAATTATCAGACTTTGGATTATCTACTGGGTTTCATAAAACCCATGATTCACAATATTACCAACGTTTGCTGGAAGGTCAGCATCATCAGGATACGGCGATAACATCAGACTTCATCAATCTCAATACTCAAAAGGAAAAAATCGCTACATGGAAAAAAAATCGTCGAGCTTTAGCTTATTCAACAGTAGGCACGCCTGATTATATAGCACCTGAAATTTTCTTACAAAGAGGATACGGTAAAGAATGTGATTGGTGGTCATTGGGAGCCATTATGTTTGAGTGTTTATGTGGTTATCCGCCTTTTTGTTCGGAAAATCCTCATGATACGTATCGAAAAATTATGAATTGGAGTGAAACACTTATTTTTCCCGAAGATCAACCAATAAGTAGAGAAGCAGAAGATTTAATACGTAGATTGATATGCGATGCTGATCGAAGATTGGGTCGGAATGGCCCTGAAGAGATAAAGCAGCACCCCTTCTTTTATGGAATCAATTGGGATAACATTAGAAACGAAAGATCACCACATATACCACAATTAAAAAGTATTACAGACACAAGCTATTTCCCAACAGAAGAATTAGACGCTGTACCTGATGTAGTAGACAATAACCAAGGTAAATTGTTTATTCAAATGAGTTTTTGTAAAAATTAGTATATTAAAACCAATATAATTTATGTATAGTCTATGAAACAAATACTGTAAATGCACAAAAGGATTTGGCTTTTGTTGGTTATACCTTTAAGCGTTTTGACTATTTAACCAAGAAGAATATTCTGTAAAAAACGAAATAAAAAGTTCAGCAATGTTTCCAACTGATGGGTATTCTTCCCTGCGTCAAGTCACCAATGCTATTAAATACCGCAGGCGTCAAATCTAGTGAACCTCTACCACATCCTATAGCAGGACACTTTATTCATTCATCGCGTGGTTAATGTTTCTTAATGCTATATTCTGCTGTTCATTTTTTATGCTTAGGAAATGACACTTACTATATCTTGTATATGTGCTTTTATACTTCCTTCGGGACCTATCACTATTATACAGGCTCCACATACTGAACTTTCGTTCGGATTATCCCCTTTATCGCCAAAATCATGCTCATTCATTGCCACAATGTTGTCTTGCGCTGTATATAGAGTACCGCAAGCAGTATAGCCTACGCCTGGATCTGTAATGCGTTCACAATTCTCAGTTAAATATTAATTAGGCTAGATTTTAGGGTATATACCCTACCGTAATAAGTGCCGTCTCCAGCTCCCTGAATATCATTCTTTTCCCAGGAGCCACTACTCGTTCCTGAGGAATTCGTTTTGCCGATGGACGTCGGTACACCCAATCGATCCTGATATCGCTTATTATGGAACACGCCCAGAGTGACTAATATAATGAACATGATGATGCATTCACCTGTAAACCCTGCAGCCAACAACATCAGCTGGCCTGATTTTCCGTGTCTATCGATAAAGCGAGACCAAATAGTCGGCGGTGGATAGATTCGCATTAAAGGTCGAGTTTCTGTACTGTTTATACTTTCGTTTTCCTTTGTAACATCATCATATGCTTGCTGATCTATGTTGCACTTTTTATCAGCTGCTGCTCCCGCTATAAGATTCATGCCGTTGTGATTGCCAATTAGCGAATGCTAATGTCCGTTGTTATGATGTTTTCTTCCGTTACAATCAAGAATGGCAATTGAGTATATAACAGTAAAACGAAAACAATAAATGAACTGTGATCCACTGATTCCTCTTATTATCTCTCCTTTTACGCAATTCTATTTTTAGAAGAATAGAGAGTTCTTAGACACTTTCTCAACTACTTCTCCTTTAAGTATGAATGGCAACTTCCCTTTTCTCATGAATACAAAATTTGCTTTGCTTTTTTTGTACGACAGACAGTTAAAAATTGTATTGTACTTATTGTTCGATTAAAAAAGACGAGAGATGCTGATGCTTTCACTTCTCTTACCACCAGTGCTGTTAAGATTACGTTGAATAAGGTAGCTCTTTCAACTGTATCTTACATTTTACACTATACAATGGGAGAGAAAAAAATTATTAGCTTAATTGATAGTACACGTCGTAGCTCCTGTTATAGATAACAACGGTGCACTTAGTCTATTATTTCTCTCAAGATGAGCCGAAAGGTTTCGATACGCAATAAGGAGACTTCTTCGCTGGTATTTCTTGTTTTTTTTTTTTTTTTTTTTTTTTTTTTTTTTTTTTTGCAGCAAATGAATAGTGTTGCTCTCAAGTATCTGTCGAATAGATATACAACAATTTACTGTTTGGAAAAGGACTTTATACCTTCATGTGTAACAGTTGCTGTTAATGTGTTCAAGCAAGCAAATGTATTCTATAAAGTCTAGCACTAAGCACGCTTGACTTCAAAATCTCTCAAATCCAATCAAAGCAAAGACACCCATACAGCTCCATTCAATCCTTAGAATGTAGACTTTCTTTGCTGTTTTAGCCGTCCATTGATTATGCCTCAGGTCCATTAACTTTCAAGTGCCCGTTGCCACAACCTCAGTCTTATAAAGAATGCCTAGGCAAGATGAATTTGGCTGATGCCACAAATACGTTGCAATATCAAACATGCTTATTCATTACAAAGACAATAAGTCTTTGGAGAATGCAGTGTTTATCGAATATGACAAGTAAGTTTAATTTGTAATGTTTAGGGTTTTTACTATGGAAACATCAAAGAAAGGGAATTTTCGCTGTCGCTTCGAACTGGCTTACTAACTTTAGAGGAGTTCTTTCTGCGGCTAATTAAAATGGTTGTAATATGTTCTATGTATATCATTAAATCTCATCGTATTTGAAAAAAAAAAAACGTTTTCAAGATCATGCAAACATTGAACGTGCCAAAATCAATGCAAACCTCCTCCCCCCATCAGCCGGCAAAGCACACTTGAATATTCGAGTTGGGTAATCACGATAACTGTGCTATTTCGTAATTTAATTATGTGCTCGGTTTTCTTTCTCCTGCTCCTTCAATATCATGTGTTACATAATACTACCCGCACATGCGAGTGTAGATCACCTTTGAGTTTTAATCAGACTATGTCAATCAATCTAATGCGTTTTTACTATAATTACATCGCAAACAAAGACGAGCAAGCTAATAACGCGATTTCGGTTATACAATAGGGATTTTGCTTTTCTCTCCCTGAATAACAGTGCATGTTATAATTATAAATAGGACACGTCAAGTACGTTATAAAAAAAACCTCTTCTGACTCTTTCGATCACATTTTTCCTGTTCTACAACTTAATGAAAGTCATTCACTCAAATTTACAGATCTTACTATTGGTCATATTATGCTATATTATCAATGAAGCGTTCAGTATACACAGTCCTTTAGGAAAGCGAGACTTATCCCAAGAGAGCTATTTAACTAACCAGCAGTCTGAGATAATGACCATAGCAGCGGCAGCAAATGCATTAGCTTTCAATTCCGGCACTTCAAAAAGTGACAATGTAAACATTATTTATCGTGAACTGTTGCGGAAGGAATTTTTTGGCAAACGCAGTACGAAGGGAGTTGACAATAAGCAAAAAGTCGCCACCATTCCCGTAACTCCTGAACTAGGCTCATTGATTGTTGCTCAAATAAAGGCAAGGATTCATACTGATATTACAACCAAGCTGTCCGCTTCAGTAAGTAAAATAAAAGAGATATCTTTGACCGTTCTATGCTAAGAGCATATTTGTTCACATATAAAACTTCTCGACGAAACGGTTTTCGTATAGTTGTCTCAAAAAGTAAAAGCAAGCTTAGACATTAAGGTTACCGCTATGGGAGGCTTTGTAAAAGTTGGGCATGCAGAAATTGATGCAATTCAAACAGCAGCAGTGGAGGGATTGAAATGTAAGGTTTAATCATTTATCCATTGCAATCACATGCAGATGGGCTGTATTAAATGTCAACTATTTGTTTGTTTCCAACAATATTTAGCACGGATCTCAACAACAATTAACGAGAAGTTTGATCAGATACTCTCAGATACAGTAACACCTCAAGTAGAACAACTGTCCTCGTTCCCCTCAGCAGAAAATCAGAAGGCGATATCTGTACGTGTCGTAGAGCCGATTCTAATTCATGCCGAGACAATTGCGCGTAGTGAACTAAAGATGGCGCTTCCGGAAATACGTAAAACATTAAAGAAACGTATCGACGCTCAGCTAAACGCACAAATCAAAAATCTTGAAGTTGATATCCCTGGTGTTTTGAAAATTCAGATCAATGCAAATGTTAACGTGACATCTTCCATTGGAATGATTATCGAGAATGTATATAGGTCTTACGCTGACGTCAGTATCGCTGTAGCCGTAAAATCTTATATAAAAGGGCTCCAAGAAGGATATGCCAAGTGATCTAATCCATTTTTATCATGTATACAGTGTATATGAGCATAGAGTAGTTTCTTTCACACATCCTACATACTCCAAAATTCGAAATGTATTTTTTTAAGGCTCTTTCAATTAATCTGTGACTAATCACGTAGACAACTTTGTGTATAATAAATCATCATGTAATTCATTTTGTTCTTGCCAAATTTACAAAAAACAGCAAATGTATGAAAATATGTAGTTACACCAGCGGGCATAAAATACGTTTGCACAGAGTCATCTCTGTGTAAATCGGCACGACATTTTATATTCAGGTCGCAAGTTTCAAAGTTTTTATTGCCAGGAAAATAGTTCCTTTTTTTTTTCAAAATCTATAAAAGTCTATAAAGCAGAAGAAAAAAGTATTTTTTTCACCGCTAAGTACACAGACAACGAAATGAATGAAGCTCGTGCATCGTCACAGTCTGGTCGCGTGTTTCATTCCTTTTTCTCCTTCGTCATTGCTCTAAACTACTGCATATAGATTTTTTGCACCTTGCTTAATAGGGGCAATTACTGAAGAATGTGAGTAAACAACATGAATACTGATTACATAAGAAAAAGAATGCGGCTACAGCTAAGGGACAGCTTAAAATGATGACCTACATTTGTTCTTGGTCTGTAAAATGCAAAACAGAAAGGGACTGAAAAAAGCATAACTCTTTTTTTCAATTTCGATTGTCTCAACATATTTTCTGTATGTCTATGTCTTTTTCCTTTTCTTTTTCTTCTTCACTTCTCTCTTGTTCCTTTTTTAATTGTCGTCTACATTGTGCTGATCAAATGCAAAAAAGGCGAATAACAATTGACCCCAAGACAAGAAATCAACTTTGCAGATTCGTAACACTATTAGCCTTCTAAATGTCAACCAGACCAATACTTTTTGCTGATCGGCTAAGTAGCTCTAATAGCACAACAGAGGACTATCAAATCGATAGAGCTTTTATTACGGCTGGTAATAATTATGGTAAAACCTCCATCAACACTGAGAATAATTGTAATGCATCAATCGAAACTGTAAGAAAAAAACCAAAGATACTTCTGAAAATTCGCAAGTATTCACCAGCGCTGATATCCACTTTGGCATAGGGGGGCTTATTATGGAAGGATACAACCAACGCAGACAGTAATAAAGTGTCGTGCTATTGTATTTGCTCTTGTTTCTGTTGCTCCTGCTTCACATCACGAGCAATTCATTCCAGATTTAATGACATGATTAATATACACACCCACTGCAAAAATTGTCTTAATAGCAAGCATTTCTATCCTCTAGTTCATCCAAGTACATCAGCCTATGACACCTGTAAAATTATGCAAAAACGGAGATAATGCATTACTATGTAAATTGATGCTGATACCATTCATTCGATTATTTAGACAATAACGCTTCGAATAGAACATCGACTACCACCACATTTACTGGAGACACTAGTTTTTTTTCGATGGATAACATAATGAATACAACCAAAATATCCTCCTCCCCTTTGCAGCCAAGTAAAGCAACAACATATCAGCAACCTTTATTCAATAATGTAGTGCTTAAGACGACCCTTGATGTTGAATCGGCTCAAAACTCACTGAATGGCATCACAGGATCAATACAACATAATCATCTTCAGGAATCGCCGCTGCAGGAAGAAATTCCTCGTGATCAAGTTGCTGTTAAAGATCAGTTATATTATGAGGTTATTGATAGAGAAGCGGAGGTAGAAAAAGAAGAAGATTGCAGCTTACAGGAGAATGAGTTTTTCAAACTGTTATCGATGCTGATTCAACACGCCGAAAGTTTAGAATGGATAACAGCTGACCTTCTACGAACGGAAAATAAAGTGAGAGAACTAAAATCCTTAGAAAGATCAATTTCAGAAGGATACGACTATCGCGAAAAATTCTATCTGGACCGATTGACTGAATACGAACAAATTTTAAAACTACAAACGAGTATGATAGATGATCTTTCAGAATTAGAACGTGACCTACATATACAATATGATTTGAGCTCTATGCAACGGCAAAATGGTAGTATTAGAACGGAGCTCAACAAGATTAAATCGCATTTAGTAACGAAGCCCTTATCTAATGTAGTAGAGCGCAATATTGAGGCCTCTTATTTCCATCAATGTCGTGACAACTGTAAGGGTAGTACGAAATCATCGTCAAACAATAGTACACATAATGGCAGTTATTTTCCTTCTACAAATTTTGAAGATAAGCAGCAACTGTCATCTATGAATGACATTGCGCATAAAATTCGTTGGAAAACAGCCAAATGGATTGGGGGAAGTGTGAGTACATGTCAGGTTGTTTACTCCTTCAACAGACCTAGAGATGTACCTGAGTTTATCATTGCAGGATCAGGTACAATTAATTCGTTTACTGTTACAACTAGCAGCTGCCATATGAAAGCATTGTTACCCACAACAACAAAACTTCAACCAATTGAAGTATATATTACTCCGCCAACAACCTTATCAAACTCTTTACAACGATATCATTATTTACTTCATATAAATGCTCACGATCAAAATACTCTATTTCGATTATTACCCAAACGTTACTGGATACCGGATGCTGATTCACTGACTTGCCAATTTCAATCATGTACTACTTCATTCAGCTTTTTCCAAAGACGGCACCATTGTAGAAGATGTGGCATACTAGTTTGCCAGGAGCATAGTTTAAATCGACTACCACTATTCAGTCCTCAAGAGCAGCATCATTTATCGTTAGCAACTGTTATAAATGCTCACAGCAATGCAAACATCAATTACTACAGATGGTATAGAGTTTGTGATACCTGCTTCTTTGATCTCATTATTGCTCGTAGTCCAGCCACTTCTGCTATTAAAAACATACCATCACATCGGTTGTCTGCTGTGGACTCTGCAGCTGATTTGTCAGAAGTTTCTGGTAAGCAGGATCTTCTTTATACACTACAGTCAATTTCTTGTTAGAATATATTTTATTTTCTATTATACCCTATTATCCGTATTTACAAAGTAACCACCGTATACTAATTCTTTGCAACTTTATTGTACATATTTATCTATTCAATACAATCATTTTCTCTATTTCAAAAATTAGGATAACATCACATCAATTAAATAATTCAAGAAGTTGTCTTACATTTTAAAACGATAATGGCCAGCTAATTAATTGATGCAAAAAAGAGACCGAATATGGCTGCGTTCTACATTTGCAGCAGCTTTCTGATGCGGAGAAACAGATTTTACAGTTCTTTTTTTTTATTTTGGGCATTTAACTAACAATTCCTGCAATTTACGAAACTATAAAACCTCAAAATGGACGATCTTTACTCTGGTAAGTAGTAAATATAATAACTCTCTATATCTTATTTATGCTTGTTAACAGCTTTTCACCCTTAGACAACGATCCTGATTATCGAGCAACACGTCTGCACTCTGAAATCTCTCCACCTTCTTCACGCGATCAACCTTACATTCGTCAACAACATCAGCACCAAGCACAGCGACAATCGAAGGTCGATCTGTCTCGTTATAATCCTGCTTTACAACAACCACACTACAGCCACCACCATCAAAACAAACGCCCTTCATACCAACCATATCAACAACAACGATTTGCACCCTATGGTCAGCAACCGCCTTTACCACACCAACAACAGCTTCGTAACCAGCAGCAACAACAGCCTTTTTATAAAGATCAAAGGGGAAACTATTGTGATCAACATCAGCATGCTTATGATTTGCAGCAACAACAAGAGGTTAAGCAGTCAGCTCAACCTCAACCTACATCCCGAAAAGCAAAACCAATAGATCTGAAAACCAATACAGATTTTCTTGCCTGCAAACGTCGACTTTCTTTGGAAAATATTGTGCAAAAGGTTTCGATTGTAGAAGAAAATGTGTCAAATATCGACTATGAATTTGTTAGTTCAACGATATTGGTAAAGACTGTTAATGAAGCAAGGGTAAGTTATCTTTTCGTTTGTTTGCAAACAAAAATACTAGGCGTTTATCTTTCTCACTTCGTTTTCAGGCAAAAATGAGTCATGTGACAAAGGAAGCACTATCAACTGCAAGGTCGAGGTCTAATCCATTCGAAAGAATAGGCACGAGTGTTTTTATGAACCGAGCAGCAGTTAAGCTCGCAGCTTTAGACGCCACCTTCGGATTGACGCAAAAAGAAGATGCTACTTCAACTTTTACATTTGCGGACCTGTGTGGAGGTCCAGGGGGATTTACGGAGTACCTATTATGGAGAATACATAGTTGGGGAGAAACAGCTCATGGCTATGGTATAACCTTGCAGTCAACTGAACATGACGAAGTCAATTGGCAATTAGACAAATTCAAACAGTTGGCACCAGAGGGTAGTTTTACAATAGTCGAAGGAATGGATGGAACAGGTGATTTGTATAAAGAGGCCAATATCCGTCATTTTGAAACAATGGTGACGGAAAGCAACCACTGTAAAGAAGGAGTTGATTTAGTTGTAGCGGACGGAGGTTTTGATTTTTCAGGTGCAGAAGGAGAACAAGAAATTGTTGCCTATCGGTTGATATTGTGTGAGATAACAACTATGTTGACCTGCTTGAAGCAAGGTGGGCATTTCGTATGCAAATTTTTTGATATGCTAAGTCAATCGACAGTGAGTCTTGTATGGTTATTGTACCAATTATTCGATGAAGTATGTATTACCAAGCCATTAAGCAGTAGACCGGCCAATGCAGAACGATATATTGTATGCAAAGGACTTGTTCATAAACGTCCTGCAGAACTCGTTACCAAACTATTGCAAATGATACAGCGCGTATTCAATACTACAAACAATATAAAAGCATTCAGTCTTATTGAGAGAAGTGTCATGGAAGAAGATGAGGAATTTATTGATTATGTCCAAATGCGTAATATGAAAATCGCGATGAAGCAAACGGAAGCACTCGAACTTATGAATCAATATATACAGAATCCGTAAGTATCAGCGTAAGCTAAGTTGAGTTGAAACCCCATACTTGTTAATCACTGATACAATAAATTTAAAAAATTATACGAATAGTGAGGCATCACCATCATACGATCAGGAACAAATTAGGCGGCACCTGTTGAATGAATGGAGGCTGCCGTCACCAAACTAAACCCCTCATTCTTCTTTCTGTTTATCTTTGTATTGATAATAAAGTGAGCCGCCCACCATGGCTATAACAGTAAACCCTTGTGCCGCAACTATGTTGATGAGACTTATCAGAAAAAGTTCTAACTTTAATTTCTTATCTGCGTCTTGAAGCCTACCTCTCAACCGGAACATATTATTAGTATAAGCTCTGTTACCGGTTTTCACACCTACTGTAGCAGCTACCAAAGCGAAACAGGTTAACGCAACGCCTTTTAATCAAAAATTCCTGTCAGTAAGTCTACAGCAGTAGTAAGCAATCAAATTATAACTGACCTGCTGGCACTAAAGGTTCTTCTCGTGCTTTTCTTTGAATTTTTTGTAAGGCTGTTTCGCCTTCCATTCTATATCTCATGTATTCCAATTCCTCTTTGGTATATTCTTTCATCTTTAAAACAATTACTTTATCTTATGCCAAACCATAAAAGTGGGGAAAAAAAGAGAAAACAAAAAATCGATTCAAGGGATTGAAGAGGCATTTTCCCCACCTTTCTAATTGAGACCCCGTTTTCAAAGTCCAATTTGGAGTGTTATTGGTGGAAAGATTAAGGCACAGCAGGTTTGTTAACGATTTAATGCAAATGCTTTGAAATTAAACAGAAATAAATAACGAATAGATTAAACATGATTTTGGATTGTTACTATCGAGTTACTACATGCTGTAACTGTTCAAGGGAATGAAAATTCATGAACAGATAAGTTTTTAGCTGTTTCTATGTGACCAAGGTCCTAAAATTTCAAATGAAAGAAAATTTGTGAGTATAGAATTAATGATTTTGTAGCCTTTTTGTTGTTGATGAAGCCTTACATGTTGTGAGATGTTTAAACTTGATAAGAAATCAGTATCTGCGTTAGTCAAAGACTTAACTGTTTGTATTCGCAGAGAAGATGACCTCATAGGCAATATCTTATGCTCAACTGTATATAAGAATAAATTAGTAAACACATATATCGAACAACAACAATGATATTAAAGCACTTTGATAAAGAAAGATTGCAACACATACGGCGTTCTGACGACAAAGTTATCGTTGGAGATACTTTGCTTTTGTTATAAGTAACAGTACTCATAGCCGATAAACTATTTGATCGTGCTGGTAAATTCACAAGAATTGGGCGTTGATGAGCGTATTTTTCGCTGTTCTTATCGATATCATGTTTGTTGTTGCTTGGTAAAAGTCGTCTTATAAGCTTGTTCCCATTACTGTCACTGTCAGCTCCATTATTTTCATTTTTTACCATAGTTGAATCTGTTGTCGAATTCTTTACTTGTCGAGTAGGTTTTTTATTCTTACCAACTGATGTCACGGACGAAGGTGAGGAGAATGCTTGAGCATGAAGAACCTGCTTTTTAGTAGGACCATTATTACTTTCTAAAGTCAGCCCTGTTCCATTGTTTGTATATTGTAAAGCTCGACTGCGTAAAACAAACAATTTTTCTGAGCATCCTTGAAAGTTGAAATATGAATCGTTGAGAGTATCAACAATTGTACTATTCATATCGAGCGGTATTTCTTTGAGAATTATGTAAATAATGAAAATAGCATTCAATAATTCGAATCAATAAGAAGAAACCCGTGATTGTTATTCGCAAAGGCAGTGGGCAGGGAAGTTACCTTCGTCACTTATTGACAATGTCATATAATAATACATTGGGATTGTTGTTGCAATATGGAACTTTTCTAAAGCCGTGCCTATCAATTCGTTGATTGTAGTTGTTATGCTCACGGGAACCAGTTTTTCGAACCGTTCCTTTTTATCTTTATGTTCGACTAATAAACGTGCTGCTTGGTTTTGTGGCTGTCGTAATGATCGTATTGCTTGCTGATCTGATTTTAGCAAGCTGCTTTTACGGAATAAGCTTAAAGCAGTAGTGGGGGATACTTGTTCTTTCCCACAATCGATGCCGCTGTTGACGCCGACGATGGGCGTAGTAGCATTATTGCCGGTAGTTGGCATTGTATCCTCAGCATAGAAACATAATTTGATATACATATGTTCAATATTGTCACAATCAACCTCATCAATAACTCTTTTGATGCGCTTATGTAACGAGAAACGAATTAATGAATCATCACCAAAACGCGCTTGTGCGCGTTTTCTGGCTTTTGAAACGCCTACACGCGTGATTTGAATGGAAGGCTGTTCCCTTGAAAGACGTTTTAGGATTTTTAAAGAGGGCATAGGTTCCGTCAAATGGTCACTGAGGGATTCAAAAATTGACAGCGGCTTATCTTGAGGCATTAACGTAATTTCGTCTATATAAATTCAAAGGATATGATCATTGTGTGAAACATTAGAGCAGTTGAATATGCTCATAATACTTTTGAAAACAAAAGATCTTACCACTGTCCATGGATTTTACAGTCAAATAGAACTCGATACCGCTGCTTGTAACTGAATCATCCATGAGCGATATATGAAATTTCTGCAATGTAAGCTTCAATAATTCATCCGCATTCATTTCCGGCGTAATTGTTACTGTATTGTAAGAAGTTCCCGTTTGAATAGAATCACCAGCAAATATACGTAGAACGTGATAATGTTTATCTGTCATATCATCTTGATTGATTGACTCTCCGTCTGTAGTAGTATTCAATGTCTGGATCAAATCTTTATTGCCATGTACTGAGTAACTCTTTTTACCGAAAGATAAAAGTTTCTTTAGACCCGAAACGGCATTCACAGATATAGTACTCTTCGCTGAGAGATCAAGAGATGAGCCCCTCCTGAATTTATCTTCCTTTTGCCTAACCTCTTCGTTTTCTTCTCCATTTTTAGCACCAAGTAACTCAGATCTAAAATCTTGATTTTCATTTGGAAACAAATATGGAGGGGTGCATGGAATTATGGATGAAGTATCAGTATATGAAGTATTTGTTGCCATCTCATTGGTTACGTTAGTATCGTTCCCAGTATGTGGCAGAATGGGGTAAGAAAATGCTGGCACATTACTCTCCGCTTTGACATCAAGTGCGTTATCCTGATAATGCGCTGGATTTACTAGAGTGTTCATGATGTTGTTTCCGTCTGCTAAGCCAACTTTATCTACACCCTCATTAGTCTCCATATTGCTGTTGCTGCTATACGCATCAGACGAAAAGGCTGAGTTGTGAGTAGCGATAGTAGTGGTAGTGCTTTCCGTTTTGGGTTTATTAAAATAAGGATTTATTAAAGGAGCATATTTGCTCTTTTTCTTGCCCTCTTCCCTGGATTTTACAAAGTTCTCGTCGTTTTCAGATGCAAGATAAGTGCTGAGAGGTATTTCTTCAGTGTATTCCTCATAAGTTGCTGTATAAGAATCGATATCTTTGTCTATTTCGATGTCATCGTCGTAGTTGCTGTAAAATAGTATTTGTTTTTGACAAGCAAGGGTTCGTGATAGTCGAACACGCTTTTTAGCAATTCTGCTTTTTGATGTGGTGGCCGTTACATCAAAATTGGTGAAAGATGACTTTTGATGAGTGTAGTATTGTATTTTATCAATTGAGGTTACCTGAAAACAATAAAAAGATTAATTAAACTTTGATTAGTTATATGTGCTCTTTATTTTCACTAATTTGCTTCTACCTCAACATTTCTATGCTTATTAAGTCTAGCCAATCGCTCGTGTGGTGTCTAGAATTATCAAAAATATATTGAGAAAAGTTAAGCAATCTGCATATTATTTTGAGGAGGAATAAATACAGTTGCATTTAAACAGTTGCGTGATCCTTCTACTACCAAGCATACTCTACCTCTACAAGTTCAGCTGGAATGTAGCCAACCTCAGACGTCTTCAATGCTCTGATTAACCACCAATATGAATTTGTGTCATCAATTAACACCATTGTATCGCCTTTAACGACTGATGCTTGGCCATCTATAGACGCAACAAAAGTATGGCGTGCATAAACTAGGTCAAAATTTATATCTTCATCTGGAATGCTTGATGTTGAAGTATAACTTGAACAGATATCATCGTCATTGTCTTCATCTGCTATTGCGTCTTCATCCGTGATATCTTCCTCTATGCTTTCTGCACTTTCTTCAACTATAAAAGCCTGCATTACATTGGATGATTGTGATAGTTGCTTCAGATCAAGTTTACTACTGCAAGGCTTCATAAAGTTTTCTTTCAAGCTATCCAAAGCACTTTGAAATTGTTTGGTCACAATCATGGCTAATACAGTGGATTGTTATGTTTGATGCTCGTGAAAATTCTAATGCCTTTTAACAGTGGCGGAATTGATAATTAGTACTCAAATTATAGTCAGAAAAGAAATGATAGAATTTTGAAAGAAAGGGAAAGGAAAATAATATGATGGCACGTTCCTAAATATGCAATAAAGATTGCACCAGCAATTATTTTTTTTTTTATGGTAAAGGTTATTGATAAACCGATTTCCCCTGGATTCTTTCGTTTTTTGTGTTTTAGTTTGCAGCTAAATTCTGCACGCTCGAGAAATAGGGTTTGTCAACGCCAACTACTGAATTTGCTTATGCTTGATTGAAAGTAAATTGGTAAACTCAGAAATCGAAGTAGGTGAGACACTGCAATCATCAATTACTAATTGAAAACACTTTACTTTTTTTCTTTCTTCATTTTCTACACAATTATTTGAAGAGAATGCGTTTATCATTGTTTGTACACGCATCTTATATCTTCTGCAAAATGTAGTTTATTTCTGAAATGTATTGTACACTTATCCTAAATCTTCTATCTAAATCTTTTCCGTAATTACATTTATAAACGTGTCCCCATAACAGAAGGTTAAGAATATTAGACGGTCCTGCATTTTCTTCCTCATTGCACAGAATAACGTTGAGCAATAATTTTGAACACAATTGCGAAAATAAACTCTGATGTCTTGACTTTATTGTTTTTGTGAGATTTTCCCTCAAATAAAACAAACCTGCTCTTTTTAAATGGATATCCAGCCATTGAGAAATTATGTATTCCTTGTTTGTTGGTCTTGAAACCAACCTCCAAAAATGGTTGGCTTGTAATACGTTTATATTTTCTCTGTAATGTCAGGTTAGAGCAACAAGAGATTCGTTACTGGTTTTTTTTTAATGGTTACAAGATCTTTGAATTGTCACATAATTAACTCTTTAAATTGATTTAATTTATTGTACCACTATTAGAAGTTGAGAACAGCTGTCTAATTTACTCTTCAAATCTAACGTTCTAATAATAAGACACATTTGGAACAGTCTTTCTCAGTTGAAGTAGTATTAGGAGGTACGCTATAAATGAGGAAAACTCCATGGCAGTTTTATGCCTCCTGCTATTGTAAAAGCATCATTTCATAGAATCAAATAATTATTCTGGCTGCGGCAGATCACGAAAATTATCTGGTGGATGGCCTTCATTTGAACATATCAAGATGGACAGTAATGTCTACATAATTTTGCTAAAGTTTCGCGATTGTATGATAACCTTATTGCAGAATAAATATGATATGACTTGATATGTGCTGCTTTAGAGCGCTCAGCACTGTGATTGCTATATGAGCCACACTTCTACTCTTGGCTGTTCTAATAATGTTATGAGCAAGTATAGCTGATTATCACCAGCTATTCTGTCTTAAATTGCTGAAGCTTTGTAGTGATGCTGTTCTCTATTGATTCTCTTTTTTATGTTTAAATAGATGCTTAACGGAATAATAAAACGACTGCGTTTCCTCTTTTGACAAGATTAACAAGGGCATTCAAGTGAAAGCCAAACACCACAATATTAATGTTATTCTAGCATATGTAACTCTTTGTTTTTCGTGGAAGTAGAGGAATATTACTTTGCAACTATAATGTTCAAATGTCCTCCTCTGCGAAAAAAAATTAAGCAATTAATCTGTATTATTCGTTGTAAAATGCGCGATGTTATGAGATTTATCAGTTACAGGAATAGATAAAGTACACAATATTAGAAAACTGAGAGCTTTCTTTTCTTCCCTTTCTTTTTGCCTCCTTTCTCATTAATGTCAGAGTCTTTAGGTACGATATTTGATACGAGATATCTGGACAAAGCAACACGACCAGCAACTGAAAAATTATCATTAAGGGAAAGTGCCTCGCTAATTGATAAGCACAGTGTCACAACCCTTTTTTGAAACATTATATCCACTCACTGTTGTCCTAAGCTCGTAAATGATCACGCAGGATTACATAAGAGACTGATAACAGATAAGCTCCTGGCATAGATGCTGCAACTTTACCGAGGCCTAAGGTAATAAACCCACCCTTAGGGCTGTATGATTTGGGCAGTGAGGCATTCGAGCTGTTGAATTGGCGTCATGTCTACAACTGATACAGTTTACTGAAAATAGCGTCTATTTTTAATTCCTTTTCAGCCTTCTCATCTGCATTTACTGTTCGTAGTTGCTTTCTATATGCAGTAATACTATTAAATGTAGAAAATATTGCCAGTAACTTGAATTTTTTTGACATGGCGACTCACTTCAATCATTATCAGCTGATACTGTTTTCTAATGTATGTAATTTCACAGATCCAAACTCAGTATCTAAAGTTCTGCGGATGAGTGGCGAGTTCCGATTTCTATGATTTCGAGAAATAAAAAGCAGGCTATGGAGGGGACCAACTTAATAGTTGCTAACCCTTTCGCCATGTCTTTCATTCAATCTACAATGTAAATTGTACATTACTGAACCTGTTTCTTGAGAATGTACACAATGTCGAAGAATTAATGCTAATGGAGTGGTAATAAAGTGAAGACGTTCAGTTTTGAATCAATTGACAGAGGTGGTTACGCTTAAAACAAAGTTTTTATTCAAACCGATGGTTACGACATACCTAAGACCTATATATAATTCCCAATGGAGGTGCAAATGTAAAAGTCGGTACACCTTGTCACGAGTTTCCTGCACAAATTGTTCTCAATAGAGAATACAAGCAAGATTTTCAACTGTTGAGTTTAAGCCTTCCTTGGAAAATTGCGCTATAAATGAAGCATAACAGAGAAGTCCAAATTAAATGGCCTTTCTCTCCATCAAAACGATTATGAAACTGATTGCTCATTCGCCTCTCTCTTATTTTAACCTTGATAAACTTGTCTCATAATAGTCTTTCACAGTGTCTGCTGCGTGCGCTTTTGGACCAAGATACGGATGTACGAACAGATGTGCTGGATATTCTTATTAAAGCAAATCGATGATTACTACTATCACAAACAGGGCGTGTGCAGTTTCTCTTGTTTGTGAGCTTCTTGGCTAAGGTTGACGTTAAATCCATTAATTAATGATAAAGGTGTCTAGTAGGATAAAAAATGTATACTTCTGCTTTTCGTAGGAATAGTAAGGCATACAGTGTAGGCGCCTTCAATATTCGGACATCTGCTTTTTTAGTTTACCGTTTACATAAGGATTAAAATAATTGCAACTTTGATTGATGCTTTTGTTGTTTTTCAATACATTAGAGTTTAAGTGGAGCATAACTATTCTCTATATATTTAGTACCCTCTTCTCACAATGTGATAAAGAAGTCCTTACTTTTTTGATGGGTCAAAAGCAGCCTTATTCATTTTATAAATAGACTATATTTCTGATATTTCAAAATTCTCCTGCTTATTAAAGTATTTAATTGGGTATATGTGGTTTTTCTATAATGTTATCAATGCTCTCAAAGAGGGAATGCAAACCACCATTTACTGTCAAATTCAGTGTTGATGAAAAAATGAAGCGGACTTCGAACATCGAATTGAACAGAGTTGCTCTTGCCAATTGCTAGCACTGTGTATATCCAAACTCTTTCTTTCGCTATACGATTGACAACAGCCTTAACAAAATGTTTACTGCGGTCAAAGATTTTATAGGTAAACCTGCACCACCCAACTATGTTGCTGGTTTGGGACGTGGTGCAACTGGTTTTACCACTCGTTCGGATATTGGCCCAGCAAGGGAATCTACTGATGCGTAGAGTATATACACAAATCACTTTTAAAATTTTAATATGCAAAGTTTATATACTAATGGCTCCCAATTGTTCTATCTCTTTGACTCTAAAACTTATGCATTTAGTGGTGGCGTAGATCCAGCCAAAGCTATGGGAAGAGAAGGAGAAGAGGACGATGAACAATATCAAGATCCCGACAATGAAGTCGGTCTGTTTTCCACTGCACCATATGAAGAAGACGACGAAGAAGCTGATCGAGTATGGGATATGATCGATGCTAAAATGGATGAAAGACGAAAAGCACGTCGAGAGGCTCGAGAAAGGGAGGAAATAGCTCGCTTCCGTAAAGAGCGACCAAAGATTTCAGAACAATTTGCCGATCTCAAAAGACAACTCACCACAATCGACGAATCAGAATGGGCTGCCATTCCTGAAGTAGCTGATCTAGTGGGTAAAAATAGAAAAAAAGCTAGTAAGGTACCTGAACGGTTTACACCTTTACCGGATACGATGATTGCAGCAGCAAAGGAAAAGTTAGGCTATTCGAATACGACACTAGATGATAAATTAGGTGGCATCGCTTCTACTGTCGCAGGGGCTAGTAGTAGTGTAGGAGAGGATGGTTTGATGACAAACTTTCGAGAAATTGGTCAAGCAAGAGATAAAGTGTTAGGTTTAAAATTGGATCAAGTTTCGCATGATTCAGCGTCAGGAAAGACCACTGTTGATCCAAAGGGATACTTAACCGATTTAAATAGTGTTGTCATCAAAAGTGATGCAGAAATTGGTGATATCAAAAAGGCGCGTCTGTTATTGAATTCGGTTATTACCACCAATCCTAAACATGCACCTGGTTGGATTGCAGCTGCTCGTTTAGAGGAAGTAGCAGGTCGGCCCGTTCACGCTAGAAATATTATTGCTAAAGGTTGCGAGCAATGTCCCAAAAATGAGGATGTGTGGTTAGAATCAGCACGTTTGAATACTGTCGACAATGCCAAGGTTATTTTAGGTGATGCCGTACGTCATCTTCCCCAGTCAGTCAAAATTTGGTTGAAAGCAGTATCCCTGGAAACTGAAACCAAGGCGAAGAAAAGGGTATTACGTAGAGCACTTGAATTTATACCTAATTCAGTTAAATTATGGCGCGCTGCTGTTAATATGGAAGAAAATCCCGAAGATGCTAAAGTTCTGTTATCACGTGCTGTTGAATTAGTCCCCCTTAGCGTTGATCTATGGTTGGCTTTAGCACGTCTGGAAACCTATGAAAATGCTCAGAAGGTTCTCAATAAAGCGCGTACTACTATACCCACCAGTCATGAAATTTGGATTGCTGCTGCTCGATTACAAGAAGAGCATGGTAAAATTGAAATGGTGGATCGTATTATCACACAAGGCGTCAAAGTGCTAGCTCAAGCAGGCGTGGTGCTGGATCGTGAACAATGGCTGGATGAAGCCGAGAAGTGTGAGAAAAATGGATCTATTTCAACGTGTCAAGCTATTGTACGAGCCACTATCGGCAGCGGTGTAGAAGAAGAAGATCGTAAGTCGACTTGGATGGAGGATGCAGAAAGTTGTGTGGCTCGTGGTTCAATTCAAACAGCGCGTGCGATTTATGCTCATGCTTTGAAAGTGTTCCCTGGTAAACCTTCGATTTGGCAACAAGCTGCTTTTTTGGAAAAGAGCCATGGTACTGCTCAATCATTGGAAGAATTACTACAACGAGCTGTTAAATATTGTCCCCAAGCTGAAGTTTTATGGCTCATGGGCGCCAAAGAGAAATGGTTGGCTGGTGATGTGGAAAGTGCCCGTGCTATTCTAGAAGAAGCGTTTCGAGCCAATCCCAACAGTGAACAAATTTGGCTTGCAGCAGTCAAAGTGGAAAGCGAAAATCATGAATATGACCGCGCTCGTAAATTATTGGAGCTGGCAAGAAAAGAATCAGGCACAGAGCGTGTGTGGATGAAATCAGCTATGTTAGAGAGACAGATGAAGAATTACGATCAATGCCGAACTCTATTGGATGAAGCCATTGACAAATACCCTACCTTTGATAAATTATGGATGATCAAGGGTCAAATAGAAGTTGAATCAGCTGGTGATCTGGTCAAAGCACGCGAAACTTATAACAAAGCTGTTAAAAGCTGTCCAAAGAGTGTGACATTATGGATCTTACTTGCCCTCGCAGAAGAAAAACTGAATATGATCACAAAAGCGCGTGCTACTTTGGAAAAAGCAAGGTTTATTAATCCTAAGACACCTGAACTCTGGGTGCAAGCTATCAGGATTGAAAAGCGTAATAATAAGATGAACGTAGCTAAATCTATTGCAGCAAAAGCCTTACAAGAATGCCCTACTTCAGGTGCTATCTGGACCGAAGTTATCTTTTTGGAAGCACGACCTCAAAGAAAGGCACGCAGCGTGGATGCACTAAAGAAATGTGAGCACGATCCTATTGTAGTAACAGCAGTCGCTAGGCTTTTTTGGATTGATCGTAAGATTGAAAAAGCCAGAAATTGGTTCCAAAAAGCTGTTCAAATTGATCCAGATCAAGGCGATTCATTTGCATGGTGGTACAAATTCGAACTACAACATGGAAATAAAGAGCAGCAAGATTTATGTTTGAAACGGTGTGTGGCAGCAGAGCCACACCACGGTGAATGCTGGCAAACAGTGGCAAAAGACATGGCAAACATGGGTAAAAAAACAGAAGACATTCTGAAACTCAGTGCTGAGAAATTGGAATTAGGGAAATAATAATTGCTATCCATATACTGAAAGTAAACATAATAACCATTAAAACCGGCAGTAGATTACTGCAATCTGTATATATCTTCAAAAAAGTTTCTGCTAGGCTTCCGCTTTTATCATGTATTTCCTTCCTTTGTTCTACTATGCAAGCAAGGCGTGTTATTTTACCGCTATTATCTTCAAATGAAACTAGCGGGTTAACAATCAACACTATAGCTCTTTCTTCTTGACAGACAACGAACAACTTAGTAATTTTTGAGAATCAAACCCTTCTGAAAGCACTATAATCTGTGTTTGTATTTTGCGCTTATTCTTATTCATGTCTCTTTTTATTTTCAAACGAAGTCTCTGTCATCAATGGATGTAGTAGTTAATGCACTTTCGGAATTTATCCTTCATACTAAAAGACATGAGTTTTTTTTTGTAGCAGTAAAACCTGTTGTGCAAATCCTTTTAACTTTCTGCAAAATAAGCAAAAAATTCTGGAAAAAAAGGGATAGGTGACGAGGATTTTGTTTTTTTTGTTGGTTTTTTTTTTAATTTCAAATCTTGTGTACCTTTAGAATTCAGTTGTTAAGAGTGGCTGTTGGGAGTTTTGCACATACCGAACAACGAAAAAGCTATCAGAATGCCGAGCGAAAACAAACAAGTGAAGATGCCAATAAGAAAATCAAATAATTTTTATGAAAACTGGAAAGTCTTTTCTAAACATAACAAGCTAATGTTTCGTTGCAACGAGTAAAGATTTCGCAATCTATGGCTGTGGGCATCATGAATTCCAGTGTATTCTCTTGGCACAGCAACGGTCTCAGTGTTATTGTTGGGAAGCTTACATACCATGTTTCTTCACACTTATGATAGAAAGAAAGCGCAATGGTATTTGAAGCGAGATCTTGCCAAGTTGTTAGAAAATAAGAATGGTGGAAGAGCGATTCAATTGTTATTCGATGCTAAGGGCAATGGACATCGTGAAGGCGACTATATGATAGAGGATCGTAAAAATATATGTGTTGGTTGTGGTGGAGATCAGCAACTAACCTTACACCATGTTGGTAAGAGAGTATATGGAGGAGTGATAATCAGTGTAGGCAAGCACTTTAATAACCGTTTGAATCAGTACCAGAAATGTACAGACAATGGATGCCACTTGTTATCAAGTCAAAATCTGTACGTATGGATACTATTACTCTTTGGCATACGGCTTCTAACAAGTAATCTTGATGCTCAATCATTAGAGCCGGGATTTATTATTGTTATGCAAGCATTGTCATGACGCATACGAGCAAAAAGCTATTCAATTGAAAAAAGACTGCGTCAAACGATTCGGCATACCGTTGGAGGGAGAAGGGTGGATTTATCTTCCAGAACATAGAAGGGCCAAAAAGGCTGCTAATGCCTTGATTAGATCATCTGACAAAATACCACTGCATAGGCAGAAGGAACTTACTGAAACTATATTGAATTTTTGGCAGAAAGAAAAGATAAGCGAGTCTGAAAAAAGTGACGGAAACACAAAAGAAGAAGCTTGGAAAAACATATTGCAGAGTTGTAGCGAGTTAGTAGATCATTATAAAGGGCCGGATTTCGTCGAACACGGGAAAAAAGCCATACAGATATTGACCGAAAGAACCGAGTACAATGACAAAAACCAAGAAATTTGGCCTGATCTCGAAGCCTTCATAAAAGAATGGAGACAGCATTTCCTGGATTATCTACAACCGAAATATCTCAGTGAACTATGGACCATTGAAGGGGACATTTATACGCGATAACTCAAAAAGAAAGCGAAAGCGATGTTTCAACCTTAAATTACAGTGTTTTAGCTTCAACTTTACACTAAATACAAATTTTATTGGACAATATACATATTCAATTTTGATAATTTTAAATTATTTTAGGATGAAATGGTATAATATTCTTGGACGATTTATTGAATAAATAATTGTAGACATTACTTTGAAGGTCAGTGGACATTTTTCAATAAATAGTGGCATTACGTTAAAGTACTACGAGACGTACTGAGTATTTTATGGTGACACAGGTCTTATCAGCAATAGATATAGGGTTGTGGTTTACGAGACTTTATTTATGGATCATATGAATTGATCTACGCGTTAAACTAATCCCAGACACGTTCTTCCGCCACGTAGATAACGGTCGTTGTTGTCAATCGTAATAGAAAATAGATGTTGTCAAACTCAAAGCATTTACAGAAAATAAGTTTGACATCTTTCCTTTGATTTCCATCTTTTTCTTCTTTCATACTTTCTTTCCTCATCCTGATAGCTACTACTCACCATGTACAAAGCCAAAATCTTGCAAAAAATCAAATCCGTGGCAGAAGCCCATAAGAATAAAGTCAAAGATGAGTCCTTCCGTGATCCAGGGCGAAGATCTGTCTTCACAGCGGCAATCGGACTAGATCATAACAAACATCAAGTACGCAGCTGCTCTACCAAGGAATATTATCATATGACCGGAAGTATCAGACACGCTGCAAAGCTGGAAAAGAAGAAAGCAGGCACAATTAAAATGATCGAAAGTGGCATACCAACCGCCAAAAACTTCTATCATCAAACAACATGACCATCATGTACAATATATATTGCAGCACTTCGAAGCCTTGTTCTCTTTTTACGGCGAAAGAGCTGCTGAAGACATATTTTGTCTATACCACGGTCAGGAGCGTGCTGCCGGCAACAGGGTCAATATGCTTATTAATGGAACCACAAAGTACAATAAGCAATTGAGGTTGAAGAAGAAGAAAGATCGAAATAAGTGGCCAAAGAAGAATACCGACAGAATGGCCTTTTGTAAACGTAAAAAGAAGAAGAAGAAGAAGCAAAAGGTTCCAGAAGAGAAGGAAGAAGCAGATGCGAGAGAAGTAAGCGATGTTCTCGCTAAGAAAGATAGGTAAGGTTTTTAAATGATAAGCAATTCATCCACTATTCGCAGAAATATTGATAGAACTCATGCTTTCTACAGCAACTCCCTGAAGAACAAGTGGAAGCCTGAACCCTTTAGTGTAGGCGACACTAAAAAAATCCCTTTAATTGTAGTTGGTGATGGCATGTTCGGGAAGAGTGCAGTGCCCATCAAAGGCCATAAAACTGGTGTCGTGGGAGTCCTTTGGCGTGCCTTGAAACTCAGAGAGGCTGCTGGCGATTTACTGACGATAACCATTGATGAATACCTAACTTCTCGAATATGCAATAATTGTCGTTCGAACAATCTTGAAGCATTGAAGACAGTTCCCGGCCAAAGTATCCTTGCCTGCAAAACCTGTTCGATACTTTGGAACCGGGACGTCAACGCTGCTAAAAACATGTTGACAATTAGCGTTTCGATCTGGAAGTCAACAGGAAGACCTGCGGAGTTTTCTAGAACACCAAAATCACCCACAACAACCACTTAACACCATCCTCTAATCGCCAGCACGAAGCTGGTTTGATTTTTACAGGTAAGCGTCTCAATTTTTGTGTAGCTCGATCTTGAAATTATAACTTGATGGTCTCAAAAATTTACTTTTTTCGTCTAGTTATATTGCGGCTTCGTCTAAACCCAAAGCTAAAAAACTGTATTGATAACAAATTTTTAGAATCCAGAAATCTTTTTGTTCCAGTTTTCTCTTTACCCCTCATTTTTTTCGACCCGATGCCAACAACAACGACGTTACCTCTACATCATCAACCTCATCATCGAAATAGCATTTCTAATCTTTTAATTAATAAAGAAAAGACAAACGATAGCATACCACCTTTACCTTCATCAAATACCTTTGAGAATCGAACATCACCCATATTATCGTCGACGTCGAGAAAATTCTGCGCTTTAGTCGTAGTGACCATCATTCTATGTTATTCGTTTATCAAGTCTACTTCTTTCACAAAGAGGGAGAATGAGAATGGCACTACTCTATCCTTATCTACAACAGTATCAGGTAGTGCTGTCAACGATTACTTGAATATTAATCCTTTAGCTTGGGCACCAACTCTCTCAGACAAGATTGGCAAAAGTGCTTTCTCAAAATCCCAGTTTACTACAGAGGCGTTAGAACAAAACGAACTAAACCCTGTCTCAGCGGTCATACTAAGAGTAACCGACGATGATAAAAGTATAATACATACAGTTAATCATCTATTGAAGTATCCTTTTATCAGCGATATTTCTATCTTCAATCAAGTAAAAAATAGGCCGCTAACGTTAAAGGTATAATACAAAAAAGCCTCGCTGTCAAGCACTGCAATATAGTTAAAACTCTCGTTTGTCATTCAAATAGAGTCTTAGATTAAGTCCTACTGTTAAATCTACCATAAACATCAACTTCATTGAATCTACGTCTAATAATGAAGAAGACCTCAAAAGCCTGGCTCGCTTCACCATTTGTGCAACAGCATCTCGACTTTATTGTTATTTTCAGGATGACAACTATATTAATCCTTTCATGGATAGTTTATACACTAATTTCTTGCGGTTTCCTTCGCTGATTCATGCCAACGCTAAGCCCTCACATTTTGAAAATGAAATGGCATGGCGGTTTTCCAAAGCAGATATACGTTTGCATACTGGTTATGCTGATTTTCGTTATGGTGCGTTTGTCCCTCGTTGGAAAGTACAAAATTTTTTGACACAATTAGGAAAATCAGGTTTCGACAAAGAGAAACTAAGGCAGGCAGATCACTATTTTTCAATTTGGACGAATCAGTATCCATGGTTATTGAGCAATCCGCCTTATATGGCAAAGGGCGGAACTAAAGCTACAGATGGAGATATCGCTTATTTGAGTACTTTAGATCACTATACCGTAAGTGCATTTTTATGTTGGCGAATTCTTATGTTTTCATAAGAGTAAAAACTCATTTTTATTACCCTCATTTTTGCTAACGCTGCAGTATGATGCTGTCCGCCACTTATCAAGGAGTTTAACGGCACATCAGTCAGAAGCCCCTCAGGATTATTTTGATCGACGAGAAGAAGTCCCACCATTGGTTTATCGTGATGTACGCTCTTCTTGTGCTAATGATCGGTGTCTCTTTATGACCAATTTAGATCCTTTCGTAAAACCTACAGATATTGATTTCGATTACCGCAATATCACGTCTATCTTAGCATGGGAGAAGGCCTATGCAAAATTATCGACAATACCCAACTCTATCGAATGGGACGAGTTTTCCTATCACCAGGCTGTGGACAATGATCCCAATACTTGTTGGCATACTATTCGAAGTGAGTATTTTCCATTGCTGTTTGTTATAATCTTACGCGAGGCTTTATACTGACAACTGTATCTATATTGTACGTGCTGATTAGCTCCTAAAAAGCATGATTATTTTGGTCTTATGTTTGTTGGCAGCACTCGTTCTGATAAAGTAACACTATATACCACGAATGATCTTTTAAAGCAGAAATATCATCCTGAAAAACAGTTTTCAATATCGGTATTACAAAATGATGACACCTGGATTCAATGTAAATTGACAATGATAGACAACAACAATAGCCTGAAAGCCACTAGTAATGCAAATCCAGATGCCAACTTACTAAATATCAATTCAGAAACAGGAGCAGCTTTGAATAACGTACAACGCGTAACATTCAATTTAAACTGCCCCAATATCAAATATTTTAAGGCTCTTAAAGTCACCTTCCTGAGAGATCAAAAAGAACCATTTGAAATATGTGGTCTAACGCTAGACAATGTATCTGTTTAAATAAACTCGTCAATTAGATTGAACTCTGCTATCTACTGCTTTTTTTTACGTCAATATTGGCCGTTATACGAACCTTTATCCTGTCAAGTTTTTCTCTTTTCTTTCCTTTTTTTTTCCTTTGTAAAAGAAAAGACTCGGTATAATATCGGTGCGCCAACCATTTAGGCGAGACGCAATACGTTTAAACATAGACTTTTAATACATAATATTATTTTATTTTTTTTTGAAAGCCCAATGGACACGAGATATTAAACTTATCTAAATTGCCCGGGGCAGCTCCAAAGGCTGAAAAGAATCTAAAAACCCCTTAGGCTCAAGGGTAAAAAGGATTATGTACTAAAGGATTGTGGGAGGGGAAGAGGGTAACCAGTCGAGCAATAGGTGCCCTAACCGAGGAGTTGTAGGCAGCTCTTGAGAGTGGTGTAAGTAGTCGAGTTCAAACAAAATGTGACAAAGTGCAGTAAAACCCGCATAAATTTGGAGACGCTTTCCTTTTTTTGTCTTTTCCTACCAACTCAATGAGCTCTAATGGAAAGAGGGAAATCATACGATCTCTAGATCATTTACTATATTGTCAGTTCGTCTATAATTATTTTTTGGATTCTAGTTTGCTAGTGTTGTTATTTCGATTTGTTATACAACTAGTAAGAGAGCCATAATACTGTATTCAAGAAACGAAACTGCTCGACTAATGTCATATACATTTTCTTCGCAAAAAAGCAACTACTGTCACCTAAAGCTTTAACACGATCAATACGAACAGCATTCTTTATAGTCACAGCCGGATGGCTGGTAGTTATCATTCTGCATGTCACAAGCGAGCCTGGACAACCCGGCATCATTATTGACTTTATTGGCAATTGTACAGTTATTCATTACAAGCATCATATACAATCTATGTTTACTGTAGACTAACATACTTTTTCTTCTTTCTAAATGAATATATTTAGTAAAGCCCCCCACTATAACAAGATTGCTGTTGTTGGATTGTGTCATTTATCTATTTCAAATCATGCGTGTTCTCATCACTTCTAGCCTCTCCTCACAGCTATTAACAAATGGTACTGCAGTTGCGACTTTACAGGTGCCACCAGCATTAGCAGCGGCTTTGGGCACTGAAAATCTAACGCTAATGCTACCGCCCTCAAACGACACCAGAATAAACGAAAATTTGGAAGAGAACAATTACCATAATACTATATCTTCATCGTCAACAGCACCCATCAGAGACGATACTTCACAAACATCATCCGCTCATTTTTCAACTGATTTTGATGGTCTATATTATGGTGATGAATTAGTCGTGGATATTGGGCTGAAGGATTCAATTAAAAATCTCATCTTTGTAGATTCTATGCGAGATGATAATCCGTCTACATCCCGAGATGGTTCAGAAAGATTACCAGTGTAACTGTCAAGAGCCCCAGCAAATAAACAACTTATTTTTTTCAAGCTTAATTCATATTACTCCTTATTCAGCAAATTTGCCAACTTATTCTGTACTATATATCCTTAAAGTCAATATACTCGTTTAAAAAAGTCAGACGAACAGTTTACCAGATGATCAGAATATGTACAAAAATTTTATTGAATGGGAAAGTTGAACTATTTACAAAACGAGGACAAAGATTGCAATATGAATAAATTATAAGTCATGAATATGGGGAAAGCTGAGGTATATAGATTATTAGGCAAGCAGCTCACCAACTGAAGCGGTAACTTTCTCAGGAAATTCACGTTGGATCATCATTTGATAAATTTCTTGAGCCTCCTCTATCTTCTGATTATCAACATAGGCACGTACCATAGCTTCGTAAGTACTTGGCTCACGGATAGTTCTTCGTTCTTCATCATTTTGCTGGATTTTGTCATCAATCATGCTATCGAATAGTGCTCTGGCTTTATCCAATAAACCCTTCTGTCCATAGCCACGGATAAACACATTTTCAATATAAGGTGAAGTAGACTTGCCAATAGTGACCTTCATTTCTTGATAGAGAGCTTCCGCACGAGTCAGCTGATCGTTTGTCACCAAAGTATCGATCATGGATTGATACACCACTTCATCCTTCTCCACCTGATTCATATTCTTAGTGCTCGATGACATCTCTTCATAAAAAACTTTTTCAGCAGCTTCAACTTCCATTTGAATTGTACCATATGCATAAATCAAGGTTGCGTAATGAGTAGCTTGAGGACGCACACCATCCACTCGCTCCATTTCCTCAAGCAAGCCGTGTGCCTTCTTCATATCATAAGGAGCAATCAAAGTATAGACTTCCATTAATAATTTATAGGTATGGGCAGAAGGTTTTACACCACATTGCTTCATTTGTTCAAAGTAGGCCAGAGCACGTTCACGATTTGGATTTTGACGAACATAGAATTGAATCATGTTGTTGAAAGGGCCTACACGTAAAAGGGAGCGGAAATGCGGAGCAGCTAACATATCATCAAATAAGCGAACAGCTAAAGACTCAGCACCTGCACGGACACAAGCAGAAATGATTGCACCATAGGTAATAGCATTAGGCTGTATCTTGAAGCGTTGCATTTCCTCGAACAATTGCATTGCTTTATCGAGCTTACGCGCCTTTGCCAGCTTAGAGATCACAACATTGTAGAAGAAAGTTGTAGGCTTTACATCGTGACGTTTTGCTTCTTCGTAAATGGTGAGAGCATCCGTAGCTTCGTCCGTAGCACACTTGGCACAACCTAAGAGAAGACTGGCATAGCCATTGCCATCAGGATAGCGACCCATATGTTTGATCGCTTCGTAGTATTTCTTGGCTTGGACCATGTCACCCTGTTGAGCATAGCCGATGAGGATACTGTTGGTCAAAATATAGACAGCACGTTCATTGTTTGGGCTTGGTTGTTGGAAGCAAGAAATGGCAAGCTTGTACATGGTGTCAGCAGTTTGAAGGTTACCTTGTTTACCAACAAAAGCAATAGCATCCCGGAGAGGTTCTACCAAAGGGACCAAAAGAGACTCTACCAAACGCGCACGAAGGATAAAGACGGCTTCTTCCAAGCGACCTTGCATGGCATTCGTCATGACAGCATGGGATAGCTCCTCGGCTTTAGCACGATCAGAGGAAGAAGAAAGTGAAGAAGGAGACAATGGAGGAGTAGCCAGACCGGTGGTGGCAGCAGGGCTAACAAGAGTTGCAAAGCCTTCTGGCTCGCTGTTGTCTTTCTTGAAACCTGCAGAAAGCGCACGCCACTTTTGAACAGTTTGTTTGTCCCCAACACGATTAAGATAACTAACAACCCGGTGCTCTGTATGAGAAGCAATCTTGAATCCATTAACGGACATTTCAGAAGCAATTTCAAGCAGCAAAGATGAAATAGAGGCTTTTCTGTTACTAGTAGTAGTAGAAGCAAGAGTGATGGCGGCATCAAACAGCATTTCATAATCGGTAGCAGTCAACATACAGTGATTTGAGTCAAAATTGTAAGCTTCAACTATAACTTTGGCAACAGGTAAGGGCAGCATGTGATTTTGATGAGTACCGTTGGTCAAATACTTTGTAAACAAACGAGCCAAAGTCAGCGCAGTGTCAATATGAACAGTGTCAGAAGCGGCCAAGGCGTTGGAAACGGCTAAAGCTGCCTGTTTTAGTTGGTTCACTCCTTTAGCCACAGAGCGAGGTTTCATGGATTCCAAGATGACAGTAAGAGCGTTCAAAGCATGTTCTGGTTGCTTTAAGTCGATAGCAAAGCGAGTGACAATATGTTGAGCCAAAGCAGGGTCAGGTTCCAAGCCGGCCTTTTTCATATCTTCGACTACCTGCATGGCTTTCTCCATGTCATTTTGTTTCAAGCAGAGCAAAGCATAATTAGCCATGTTACCGTAAGACTTGGAAATATCAGTTTGAATCAGGGCTTGATAGATTTCAGTTGCCTTTTTGAAACAACCCATTTGACAATAAGCAGACAAAACAGGGCCATAACTGCTAGCATCAGGTTGAGGGTAAGATTGCTTCATCGTTTGTAGAAGGTCCATGGCTTCTTCCAATTTCTTGTTAGGTTGAAGACAATAATAACGAATGATAGAGTTATAAGGAATCGTAGATATTTTGACATCCGCTTCCAACATATCTTTTTGAACAATTTTGAGGGCATCTTCTAAATGATGGCATTTGAGGTGAGCATCGACCAAAGCATTATAGACATAAGAAGCGTCATGGGGTCCCACTGTGTCTTTGATAGAAGAGTAATGTTGAAAAAAGGTCAAGGCAGATTCCAGATCGCCCACACGACCAAACAAATTGATCAAGGCAGCATAAGTAGCAGACGTAGGTTGAGCATGAAGTTCCAACTGATGATAAACTCGGAGAGAATTCTCAACATCACCGTAGTGGGAGAGAACTCGTAACAATTGATTAAAGAGGTCAACTTCGAAGAATTGAACCAGGTTTTCGGAAACAGCATCTTCAAACATGACAAGTGCCTTTTGTAGATTCGCCTCAGACTCTAAGTCGGACATGTTATTGTTAGAAGCAGTAATAGATTTGCAACGAGCATTCTGACGCTTCAGCATAGCAATGACTTTTTGCACCTCCACATCACGCTTACACAGAGTACGGATGAGAATAGTATAAGTAGAACTGCAGGGTTGAATTCCAGAACGGAGCATATCCTCATAAACTATCGATCGGAGGCGGATAATCAATTAGTTATTGATTTTTGTATAGAAGTAAAAATAGACGTTTGTATAAATAAAATACTTACTGTTAAGCATTGGAGTTAGAGGAGTACCGTCACGACGAAGACTGGCATATGCTTCAAAGATGAGGTTGTACGTGTGTTCTGTAAATAAAAGACCTTCTCTTTTCAAAGCAGCATATTCGAGTTTCAATAATTTCATTTGACCCTGACGTTTTACTGTTAATATGCGATCATTGGCTTTAAAAGATTCAGAGACGATGGAACGCTCCCCATCGGTTCTCGGTGACGACTTGGGAGATGGAGGTGGAGTAATGATATCTGAAGGTGGAGCTGTAGGAGCGTTGTAAACAATTTCAAAAATAGGCTCGTTTTTTTCATCTTCAGGTGTAGGGGTGACTGGCATGGGAATGGTAGAGGAAGTTTGTTGTTGTTTACAACCAGTATCCTTGGTACGTTTCAGAACAACCGTGGCGTCCTTAGATATAGTTGTAGAATGAGAAATGTGCATGATGGTATGTTGAAAAGAGATGAGAAAGCAAGGAATATAGATGAGATTAGTATAAGAGTTGTATTCTTTAAAGTTAAACGGAAGAAAACTAGATAAGAGATGGAAAAAGGGCTACTGTATTTATACTAAAAAAACGAGTGGGAGAATTGAAACCGCAAGCTTAGTGTATTTGTCCAATAAAAAGGGAATTTATGTGCTTTATCTGATTGCAACAGGTGACTCTAATTTAAGTTCAATCGAGACTCTGTGATTATCAGATTTTTTCCAAGGTTTTTGATTTCTTCTCCGTCCCCTGTTCTACCGTGCCGTTAAAGTTACATCTGGGTATCAGGTTGATGAGAAAGTTAGCTAATTAAATAACTAATGACATAGATTGATGGAAAACGACGCTAAAATATATCGACCAGATTTTCCAGAGTCAACATCATATAAATAACTTACTTTTCGATGTAGCGCATGTTTGATGCTGCCATGCCCAATTTATTCTGGACGATTGTGACTCTTCTTCCGTTACCATGGCAATATTAGAAAATCTGATAAACGGCAATTTTTGTTGGAATTGTGAAATAAAACTCCCGCTTATAGTAGAGAATCATCGGAGTACATACTGCATCTGTCGTGTACATTATTACTGTTAGGGAAAAAACGACCAGCAACCGAGGTACACGGGATGGCTGCATCGTTATCAGATCTTTTTTTCCCCCTTTTTTTTGGTTTTTGATATGTACGGGTAACTAAACAACAACAAGTATGTCAGGTTATCGGGAAGCTAAATAAAATCGTGTAACTTTATCCTTTGGAAGGGAGAGAAAAAAGAGTTTAAAGAAACAAATTTGAAATCCCTCAAACTAACGTAAAGGTGTGTGACATATGACAGCAATGTAACGGAGGACGTTTGAGAATAACAAAAAAGTAATATAAGATGCTTTAGACATATATGATAACAAAGCCGCATTCTCAGATCTGATAAGAAGTTCCATCTTGGATTTTTCTTTTCTTAGATTTGGGGGAGGGGTTGTAGGTTGGGGAAGGAGCGTGGGGATAGTAATATTTATCAAACTTAAATTTCTCTTGGCTTGTTGGAGGGTTGGAGATGCTACAAAAAGTCAAATATGCATGCTCAATCGCTTGGAAGCGTTTTCTATCTTAGTTACAGAAGTATTCTCTTTGATAAGATCTTGAGATATTAACAGTGTATCAAAATGCTGTAATAAGTATTCACACGAAATTTCAATCCTTTTTTTAATTTTTTTTTTCTCTTTTTTTGCACGCATGTACAGCTTTATTTTCTGACGAATCATTTATCAGCAAAAGATCTGATAACTAGAAGCGAATAATTAAAAATAAAAATTGGGTCCATCTCTTTTGGAACTGTTACTATACTTGCATAAAACATATGAGAAAGAATATGCTTTATAGTTGTCTTTGCCAACAATAGGTCGCATTGGGTAATTCAATTAAACGTTTATTTCGAAGAAATTGATGTACTGTAACAGTGAATCCCAGTTGCTAAAGCAAGTTGTAAAAAGGAAAAATACAATGAGTTAATCAAAGTAGAAATTATGTTGATTCCGTTTTATAAAAACCAATTTTTTTCAATCCTCTTGTATGAAATAGTAGCTTTTTTGAAGAGTTACAAAGATAAACAGTAGACGCTGATCAATTCTTTGACGCCTTACAACTATTATAAATTTCATCCTTATCAGATCTTTGACCTCAGAATTCTTTAGATCTTGTAAGGAGTTTTTTTTTTCTTTTTTTGGGTTCCAAACTTAAAATAGCCATTCAAGTGCAACCCTTGTACTTACCTGAATCCCCGCGAAACGAATGAACGATTAAAAATTGCGTAAGATCTGATAAGCCCCTCATTTCTTTAAATTAAACCCGATTCATGATGAAATGCTTTCTGTACGAAGTTACACTGCGATTACTAATCCTTCTCTTATTTATTTCAACTTATTAGATTGAATCTTCCATCAGTCTTACAATTTAATATAAAAACCGTATACGTAGCTTGCTCGATCTTGATCTTATCAACATCATTTTTTGAACTGCAAATTATCTGATTTTTCCTAAAAATGGTTACCGTACTTATTAACCTTGGCTTCAGTTCTACAATCGAATCTATTTGGTTTAACTAATAATCAGCAGCCTACTATGATCGAATTTAATACAAATTATTGGCCAATAGTGGTCAGTTAAAAATGCCTTTCTGATTTCGACTACAAGGTTTAATCAGAAATTTGATTATTCTGGTGTGCTTTCATAAGGAAGGACTGGCTCATCTGTCCGTTCAAATTTTTGTCTTCTCGTCAATTAATGCCCATCCAAAATGATGCGCAGCTTATGAGAAGTCGTTATTTAATGCTTATAACTGAGTTTGAACGCTACGCAATTACATGTGGAAATCAAAGCCGTTGTTTTCCTTTAAAGAGGAATGACATTTAAAAATATATTTGATGAGATAGTTGGCTATGCATTCAATTGTCCGCCTTGTTAGCTTATCTCTTTTATTTTTTGCTTACCAAACAGGCAGCTGCCCAATTGGTAGTATTTGGTTTACTATCTTTGATTAAAATCAATACTAAAATGAAAGGCGCTAGTCTTCCATTAAGCACTTAATCGTTACTAACAATGTCAGTAATGACCGGCTATGGATACGTAGGCATGGGGGAAAATTGAATAGTATGTGAGTTAGCTTGAAGGATTTTATGCTGACATCTGACTCGCTGGATAGCTATCGGCCTTAATATACCGATACAAGGTACAAAGAATGCGATAGACAGTAATTCAGGAGGTGTTAACATCAGCTACACCACACCGACATACATTGTACCTATTCATTACGATTAGCTTCCACCTATACTTTTTTCTAGGATCGTTGAAGTGCGCATATACAAGAATGATTGTCTGGTAATAATTCAAAAGATGGCAAATGTTACGCACAAAATTATTTAAATTTATGTAAGAAGCAGAGGTTTCTGATTTATTTACTTATCGATGGACATAAGTTAAGATAGGATCAATGCCGTCAATCCCACATTAAAAGCCCATACTGCTGTAAAAAGTCTCTTTGTAAGATTTTGCATTTATTCAACAGCTCTCACACAAAGCGATAGCGTTGTTCGCTATCTGATGAATTTGCATCGTCTGATTATGTATGAAAACACTTCTTATGCAAACTTTTGTTTTTTTCGTCAAATGAACAGTATTCCACTGAAAGTAAAGAATGGGCAAGTACTACTATTTGCGCTATAGCATAATTGATATCCAAATCAACAAACGCATGTAGATTGCCGACATTGAAGTGGAATGTATAAATTTAAAGGCGAGTTTTTAAAAGACTTTGCATGATCAAATCACTGATGTAAAAATAATTTTTATCAACCTTGTCTTTTATTTGAGATCTATAAATAAAGCTATTGTTGAGTTTCATCGAACAGTCATGGATGGCTATGATTACGTAGTCTTTGAAAAATTATTTAGGTAGTGCTAGTACTGGGCAGATTCATATTCATGCAAATGTGAATCAGTAAAGACTGCCTAACAGAATTAGTTGACCCGATATCACGACCATTGTCACTACAGTGAATGGTCTGTTTAATCATTGTACAGAGGTTAGAAGGAAGCAACGATGTTTATTAATGTTTACTACTGGGGAGCTTTATTGTGTGTATATTAAAATACTACTACTTTTGATTTAAGCGTCATGTCCTTCAAATCGGCTAGGTAAGTATTTTTATACGATTATAAATCGTAGTTTTGATCAATAATGTGGTGTGTAAAGATATATCGCGTCAACTATTTAAAGAAATACATCTTTTCCTCCCCAACGTTTACAACGCCAGCTTCTTTCATCAATATTTAAACCTGTGTTATATTAAAAACGCAGAATCACGTTTGATAGGAAACAAGTAGAAGAAGGGATGGCGATCGATACTCGAAGGTGCGAGTTCCTTATGTTTTTTTTTCTCTCTGTAGAGGGAAGAGTAGTGAACTTGGTTGTCAGAAACAACAATAGCCACTGCAAAACATGAAGTGGCACATTTAAAGAATAGAAAGAAGCATATCCTTCGTTCAAACCATCATCAAAAGGGAAATATTGTCTAGCTGATTCATATAATTGATCGTCTGCAAATACTATTTGATTTCTAAGGCTTAAAATTACTCGGTTTGCCGAGACTAACAGAGAATAGATGTGCAACTACAAATATGCTTATTGTTGACGAAAAGTACTACAAAAAAATAATTAAAATAAAATAAAATAAAAAAAAAGCTAGCTCCTTAGAAGCGGACTTGGATGATTTGTACGGATCCAAGAATCTTACTACTTATTCATTATTAGTTTGGACCTTCATTCCTTTGTAAAGCCAACATTTTTAACAGAAACAGATTTTTAACATGGATTGATGAGTAAATAGGATGATATTGTGAAGAGTCGATGCCTCAATCGCTTCAATTTAATCAATGATATAATGTTTCCAACACTTAATAAAACAACATATACACATACACACTCAGAGAGAGAGAGAGACAGGTAGTACCTTGTACTATACACTAATAACATCTAGGCAGAGGTAAACAGAGAGGCTTTTTCAACACCCGGTGATTCATTCGATCTGCAGCAAGATTCGCACGTTGCAAGTAAGAAACTTTTAATGAATCAAGCACTATTTCCAGTTACGTGTGTAACACCCAGTCCCTTCTTTAAAGTGTTGAACCAATTATCAAGGATAGCTTCATCATTGACTAACTACCACACGTCGAACTTTATCTGGCTTTTTTGATTATTGATACCGATTAAGCATTCCAAACACTTATAGATGTCTTTTTGCGTTGAATACTTTAATAACAGAAAATGCAATATCGTATTTGCTTTATTATTCTGCTCTGAATATTTTTGCTAAGTTTATTATACTAACAAATCGTCTATGATAAAACCAAAAAACACAGCAACAGTAAAAAAGGGGAAGAAAAATGTCAAAAAAGATGACTCAGACGTGGATGTTTCGCACAATCACGTGAGTCTAAGCCAATCAATTACACTCGATTACTCACCAGCAAATCAACCCCCGACTGCGTTGTCCATCAATATCGTTGGCAGCATGGCACCGACAGACATAATAAAAAGCCATCAAAAAAAGATAGAAAAAGATTTCTTTTTCCCTTTCTTCCTACTTCCGCACTTTTCTTTAACATAGAAGTTATTTAAACATGTCGGCCCCTATTGCTCCTGCCAACCTTCACTCTGAAAAGATTGAATCCTCCAATTCTCAAGCTGAGAACTTCAAGATTAAGGCTGGTTTAGCCCAAATGTTGAAGGTACTGTATATTCTTTTTGTTTATGCTGGTTACCCTATGGCGATCTTTTTGGGCGCTAACCTAATCGCTGAACGATGCTAGGGTGGTGTTATTATGGACGTCATCAATGCTGAACAAGCCAGAATTGCCGAAGAAGCTGGTGCCTGTGCTGTCATGGCTTTGGAACGTGTCCCTGCCGATATCCGTAAGAATGGTAAGTTCGGAACGTTATTCCCTTTTTTTATGAAAAAGGATGATTGTGCCCAGAAGAATTGTACATGGGGGGGTTGAGAAACAAGTCTAACTGATGGCATCGTTCCATTAAACTGTTAGGTGGTGTTGCTCGTATGTCTGACCCCAAGATGATCAAGGAAATTATTGAAGCTGTCACTATCCCTGTCATGGCCAAGGTCCGTATTGGTCACTTTGTTGAAGCTCAAATCATCGAGTCTATCGGTGTCGATTATATTGATGAATCCGAAGTTTTAACCCCTGCCGATGAGGCCAACCACATCAACAAGCACAACTTCAAGGTTCCTTACGTTTGTGGTGCCAAGAACCTCGGTGAAGCCCTTCGTCGTATCAATGAAGGTGCTGCTATGATCCGTACCAAGGGTGAAGCTGGTACCGGTAACGTTGTTGAAGCTGTTCGTCATATGCGTACTGTCTCTGCCGAAATCCGTCGCGCTTCTGCTATGACAGACGAAGAGCTTTACGCTTATGCTAAGGACATTCAAGCACCTTACCATTTACTTAAGGAAACCGCTAAGTTAGGTCGTCTTCCTGTTGTCAACTTTGCTGCTGGTGGTGTTGCTACTCCTGCCGATGCTGCTCTTATGATGGTAAGTTTTCTTTCTTTTTTTCGTTACTTGTGGGGCAATTGTGGGGTTTCCAAGTTCGTTCGTATTATTTGCCTTTCATGTGTTTTTGTGCAACCGTAGTACGAAGATCACAGACAATTTGAATTAAAGCGACGCACGTGTCTATTGGATCGTCAGCTAACTTTATATTTTACCATAGCAATTGGGTTGTGATGGTGTCTTTGTCGGTTCTGGTATCTTCAAATCTGGTGATCCTGCCAAGCGTGCCAAGGCTATTGTCCAAGCTGTCACTCACTACAACGATCCTAAGGTTTTGGCTGAGGTTTCTGAAGATCTCGGTGAAGCCATGGTTGGTATCAACTTGGATGAATTGCACGAGAATGAAAAGTTTGCCAAGCGTGGTTGGTAGAAGGGGTCCAATATTTACAATACTATAGACTGTAAACTCTCTGTTTTTGTTTTCTTTTATTATGTACTTTATATATCCATTATTCATTCTTGCGTCTCCTGTTTGCAAATTTCAAGAAAAACTATTTTCTAAACGATCTGTATAAAATTATATTATTGCAACCATTGCGAATATGCATCATACATAGTTTACGCAGCCGATTCAAATAAAGGTACCATACCTTATTACTTCGGCTTTTTATTTCTTTTGCAATTTAAAATCGTTGCAGCGGTTTTCTGAAATTACGATTTATCATACCTTATGTAAGCGCTCAGAAAGTGTAAATAAACGTTATCGCCATTAAGCCATGCAAATAACTGTTGTTCAATATAATCCATCTTTGACGCGAAATGGCAATGTTTATGATGTCAAGCTCTGTTTTACCAATAAATCAATCTATTTAACAATATAATGTACGTCACGTTTGGGCCCACCGTTAGTTAGTACAGTAATTTGTGCTTTAGAACATCTGGTGAGCAAAATTGAAAAGTTTTCTCCAGCCAGTCAACAAGTTTTACTATGTGTTACAATATTTTGATCAAGCACAACATCCGCTCATTTGTTTTCAAGTTTTCAACCAGGCAAGCAATTAAAGGTTCACCGAAAGTGGTTTTAAGTCATGCAATTTCAGGTGAGGATTATATGCCAGCATTTTCTGGAGGAGATAAGCAATTCACTCCCCAGGCGCTAACCACGAAAGTAGATCTGATACCGTCCACAAGAGATCACTGAAAGAATAGGGAAAAAAAGTACAACCTAGCCATAGCTATCATCAGCAAGGTAAGGGTACCCTTATTTATTTTTATGTTCACATTGTACGAATAATATGTCATAACTGCTCCCTTTCTAAATTACCAACTCGCTTGGGATTTAAGATAACAGATTCAGAATTAAAAAGAGTTCTGTTAAATGAAGTCACTGTGCAATGCTACAGTATATAGGTCGCACATTTGGCATTGAGCATTTTGACAGAAAAGGTATGATCCGAAAAACTTTACTTTTCATCCAAAATAATTTCTTAAACTAGTCCGAATTTTAATTGTAATATAGTCTCAACTTTATAGCCATTTCGTGCGAAAGTCAAGCGAAAAAACAGTAGGAACACCATCCCTTTTCCTTTTCCTTTCCTTTACCTTTTGTCTCTTAAGGGTTTTTAGTTCTATACTACTACTGGAACTGGCCAGAGCAGACCCAATGTGTTAAAGGCATTACGTGCTCACAGGTCTTAAAATTTATCCAATAAAATGAATTATTTAATCGTAGGAACACCAAACAGCCATTGCTAGACTGGCTTTATGCATTCACTACGATCTACTTGATTGTCCCGTTTTTTTTTTTAACCTAGTCTGCATTGTGATCCCTTATCCTTTTCTTTCCTAGTACCTATTAGGGTTTTTTAAATCCTGCACGTATTTTGACCTGCCCAGGGCAATTTTCTGATATGTAGTCTATCTGTGTGCCCACTGGGTTTAAAATTATTCAATGAAAATCATGTTTAATCGTAGGAACACCAATGCATTAAACTGAAATTTAGAGCCAGCAAAAGAAGAACTGTTGTCTTTTTTTGTTAATCGCCCAAATTTGTTTGATAATCCAGCTGTATAATAAAACCTTTTCTAATGAAAAGCTTCGGAGGGAAGATCGTCAATAAATGCCAACAATTGCAACCAACTTCAGCATTAACGAGAGCAATATTCCCTGCCAATACCGTCTCTGCCAGTCCTCTTAGCGGATCCGTTCAAAATCTCATAACGTTAGTGACTTTTAGTAATACGTCTCATGTAGAACGGGCTGTACAATCTGATCGTTCTCTCATCCTATTCTTTATGAAACTGATCTATTTAGTATGAATTTGGATCAACAATCGAGAAACATGTCTGTTAAAAACACTTCTATCGAGACAACTACCATAATCGATGTTGCTTCAAGTGCTAATAATAAGAAGGAGGGCACTGACGGTAGCCCTAGTACCCATCAGCGAAAAAAGCCAGTCAAACCGCCTACGCCAGTGTCTTTAACTGAGAACGAGTCTTTAAAACAAAAGGAAATGAAGCATTTGGCGCACTTGGAATTAGAACGATCACAACGTGAAAAAAAGGAAGAGAAGAAACGTCTCAACGCAGAAAGAATACGACTGCAAAAGATTAAGTCAGCCGAAGGAGCAAGATTTCTAAAGCGAATTCAAGCTTATACACAGTTCGAATATCCCTCTTACTATAAAATCACCTGTATCAACACTGCAAAAGATGTTGAGCGCTATTTAAAGCATTTGATGGAGCGCGAGAAAGTGTTTGGCGTTGATTTAGAATGGCCACCTAGTTTCAAGAAAGGCGAAAAGGAGAAAAAAACATCTTTGGTACAAATATGCTCTTCCAAGCATATCTTGTTGATTCAGTTAACTAATATGATCATGAAAGGGGATGTCATTTCCGGAAAGGCTGTGGGCTTTCCACCTATTCTACGACAATTCTTTCAGGATAAAAGTATATACAAAAGTGGCGTAAATATCTACATGGATGGCTTGAAACTTTTTCGAGACTTCGGCATCAAGGCAAATGGATTAGTAGAACTCCGAGATATGGCAGTACTCACTAAATCGCCCAAGCTTGATATATGCCATTTGCGCTCTCTACAGGCACTTACTGGTTTATTCTTGGATAAATATTTGCCAAAGGGCAGTGTCAGATTAAGCAATTGGAGCAACAAACTAAGCACAAGCCAAATCAAATATGCAGCACTGGATGCTTACGTAAGTGAGGTGTTTGATGTACCATGGGCTTATGCAATTCAGTTAACATAGTTTACTTTGGCAGGCGTCGTATAAATTATATCGAGTGTTTGAACAATCGCTTGATTCGTCGGCTAAACTTGTTGTTAGAAACATCGAGGATGAAGACATGTCTAATAAAGTGGGGCCTAGTAATGCAGCATCGTCTTCGCTCCCATCTCCACCTCTTCCTCCTCCTTTATCTTCATCATCATCATCATCCTCTTCTTCACCTTCTTCAGTACCCGCACGCCCGTTTGCGAGGAACAATAAATATGTTGTGAGTATCAATTCTTGATGGGCTCTAATTTACGAAATATATCTTAACTTTCATTTGCACTTTTACAATAGGTAAATAATAGAAACTCACCAACAGAAACGATTTCAGTTATCAAGAAAAAAGTCCATTGAAATTGTCGATTATTGTAATATATAATTAACAGTTTTTGAAGATTAGTTTGCTTTTTTAATGAAACAGTTCCTATCAACGATTGATAGGCATTACAATGTATATATCATGCTTAATGTCTAAGGTAGATTTGTCAACGACATAGAGGGATAGATTGAAAATGGTATAAATTAAATTTAAGAATAACTGTGTTGCTCATTTTCAAAGTGTTTTTTGAAGAAGGAAAACAGTCGAGACACAATTTTTATTAGCCTCTATTCGGTTTCATTCATATAAATGACAGACAATTTGGTGCTATATTCATGTAGGTACATAATTCTGCCTTCGCTTTTTCCTTCATTGAAGGCTAAACTTTCGTTTCGGACAGAATGCGAAGCAATTTGTCCCAATAAATAACCTTAAAACAAATCATACTCAGGGCCTAAACTCGTGAATATATGTATAGCATTTAATAAAAATCAAGTTCTTTATATCATACTGATATGAGATAAACTAGTTTTTGTTTGTTATGAGAGACTGTGCTCCGGTCTGTCTCGGTGTGATTACCGGGCTTCATCCGTCCGTGGAAGTACAATTAGACAACAGACTTTAGCCAATCAGCCCCTTTTCTGATTCAAGAAAAATAAGAGTCAAGTTTTGCATAAAGCAAAGGACAATGTTTCTGTCTGTTCGAAATGCAATCAACAGAAGGTACCGAGAAAGCATTCGAACAAGCGTTCATTCTGATTGAGAAGTTGAATTATTAGATCTATTATTCTAGGAAGTCTTGATCTATGCATTCTAGAATCGCTAAAATGTGCAGCTGAAGCATCCGGACAATGGACAAAACTAGCAGACAAGCTTACATTTGCATTCAGTAATGTCGAGGTTTTAGCTTCCAGTTTTACACAAGTAAATTCAGCAATATTAGGTGAAGCATTATATATAGTCCAAATGAATCTCATTGTTAAGTATAGACATCTGAACGTCTGAAGCAGGAATGTCCTATCGACAAACATCAAGCAAAGAAAGCTTTCGAAATAATGCAAGAGGTTTGAGCCAACCCGCTGACTTTTTTACCAACCAAAATAATCACTAAATCGATGCATTTTAAACCAGTGTCCTCCTGAATTACTTTCAGCAGTTGCGAAACTCTTAAAGAAGTTACTACGGTCAATGTGCAGCATGGAAAAAGACAGTCTTCCCTTAAAACATTTAAATGTATTCATCATCTTATTTCAGGTAATATGGAACTCTCCTTAGCGAAAAATCGTAGGTTCATTATTGAACGTATTGTATAGTGCCCTTTGTTTATTGCTGAAGATCGACAACATCAAGGCTTTAGCCTATTACAGGAATTGTGTGAGGCAATTGCCAGCTTAGAAACCTCTATCCAAGACCGCTTAATTCATCACTTGGTTGAACCTTCTTTATCCGAAAATATGATGGACGTAGATGACGACAGTTTTAGCCCCTCTTTGATGATACACAGTAAAGAACAATACGCTGATAAAGTTCGATCCATCCTAAACATATTTCAAAATTTCATATCTAAAAGGTTGATTGCGAGCAATAATCGTAGCATGTCAACAGAAACTGCAACAGCAACATCGAATATTGTGGACCATGCAGTTATACATGGTACCAAATGCATTGCTGCTTTATGTAAGTTGACCTTTTTCTGCACCTCAAAAGACTTGCAAACGATTAGACACTTATTTGATTGTCTCATCAATAGACCGATATAACGAATTACATAAATATATACCCTATACAGACTTTTATAATGAAACAGTGAATGAAGAACTTGAGATTAAAGAAGACTTTCCGAATTTCAAAGACAGAAAAGGGTAAAGCTGAGGTGCCCTAGAATTGTTGACAATACTTTTTCTACCAAGGCTGACTGATTCATTTTTATTTTATCATTTAGATTCTCATTTTGTGATTATCCTTTTCTGCTAAACCCAGCCGTCAAAGCTGATGTTTTAAAGGTAGAAAGTGTGTTTCAGATGCGGCATGAATTGCAGGATGCATTCTTCCGGGCGCTATTTCAAGGTGTCAATAGTCCATATTTAGTACTAGAAATTCGAAGAGATCATATAATCTCTGACACTTTATTGCAGGTAAACTTACAAGCAACCAAAAATATTCAAATGCAGTGCATTCTTCCTGCTCTTAACACGATATTACGTTGCAGTTGGAAGAGAAGTCAATACATGATTTGAAGAAACAGTTGCGAGTTCAATTTCTGGGCGAAGAAGGAGTTGATGAAGGTGGTGTCCAAAAAGAATTCTTTCAGCTTATTGTTAGAGAAATATTCGATCCAAAATATGGCATGTTCACCTTCAATGAAGAATCCAGACTATGCTGGTTCACGCCAAACCCTGTATTGGACGAAATCAACATCCGGGAATATAAGTTGGTTGGCTTACTGCTAGGGTTAGCAGTTTACAATAGTGTTATCCTTGATTTACATTTTCCACTAGTATTATATAAGAAATTAATGGGTGTAGAAGACATTCATTTGAGCGACCTGAAACAGTTGGATCCAGTTAAGTGCTCGTTGCGGATAGGCCAGGTTAATATGGATGACCGAGCACTAATACTGGTATAATAGAGTTTAGGTAGGGGCCTGGAGAGGCTTCTCAGTTTCGATGGCGATACAGAATCTGAATACGACCGAACATTCCAAGTTGACCTGAATTCTTTTGATAACATTTACACTTATGATTTAAAACCAATGGGATCGAAAATTCAGTTGACTAATTTGAATAGTCAAGAGTTTGTGGAATTATATGTAAAGTTTATATTGACCACATCGGTAGAAAGACAATTTGAAGCCTTCAAAGAGGGGTTCCAGTTAGTATGCTCAGATAGTGCGATCAAGGTAACCAGCTTTTGTCAACCAACAAATCTAAGCAATCTTCACTAAGTTGTTTAACAGATCTTTAGACCTGAGGAAGTAGAGAAACTGATTTGTGGAAGTTCAGATTTGGATTTTGCTGCACTAGAAGCAGCAACAGTATATGATGGTGGATGGACGAGAGAATCTGATATAATCAGGTAATATGATAAATGTAATGCTTACTATATCCTCTGTTATCAAATGCTAATTTTTGCTCTACTCCTGACACAAGATATTTCTGGGAAATAGTTCATTCGTTCACGTATGAAGAGAAGAAGAAACTTCTATTTTTCGCAACTGGATCTGACAGGGTAAGCATATAATAACGAACAAACTGTTAAATTTGCAACGTTTCTTTATACTGACAAATCTTCAATATCAGGCACCGATAGGAGGGCTTGGTAAACTCCAGTTTGTCATTGCGAAGAATGGCGGCGATTCGGATAGGTAATAAAAATCTTCAAAAAATCTTAGTTTTAGAATGCTAAAACGAATTTGCAATAATAGACTACCAACATCTCATACTTGCTACAATGTGCTACTGCTCTGTGAATATAGTAGTAAAGAGAAGCTCAGAGAAAGACTCTTGACGAGCATCAGTAACTCTGAAGGTTTCGGAATGATATGATTGCTATCATGTACAAAAATAAAGTACTGCTTCATTAAGAAGGAGAACGTTTTGCCATCATTTTTTCTGTAACGCTTTATGTTACCTTTGACAAGATTGAGGCGTTTAGGGGCAATGTTGGTGATATGAAAGACGCTAATTTTACGAAGAGAGCCTGTTTGTCTGGTTACTAAGTCTTTTGCATATATTAATACCATATTAACCGAGAAACATTAGTGTGTCAATCTAAAAAACGCTCAATAATACTATCATTTTGCATGATCTACTATAACTGTTGCATTTGATGATATATCAACGGTATTCAGTTGACAAACTGTGATAAATGTAACGAATTGTTAATTGATCAAAGTGAATACAATGGAAAAACGTTTGTTAAAGTAGTGTACAAAACATTGGCAATAATGCCTATCCCAATAAATTTGTTTAATGTTCGCGTTAGGATAATAACTATAAACTAACCTCTTACAAATGTCCCTCATCAATTATAGTATAAAAAGTATGCCAGAATGCTACCATTACGTGAGCATTTATCACATTTATGGAAATGAAAGAGAAACAATCCTTTGGCACAATCAAACTCCTGGCAATCAATAACAATGGTATGCTTGAAGGTACAAACAAGTTTACTATGACACTTGATCATGGTGAGTAATCTGCCTGACCCGGGCTCTAAATATCTCATAATGATCTTTTCCTTCCAAAGAGTACTTTAACAAATGTCATAATAGAAAAAGAAAGTTGAAAAAGTTTCCATAAACCAGTTGCGTAGTTGAACACTTGTTATTTGTTCATCTTTTTTGGCTGGTTTTTTCTGTTTTTTTTTATTTTTCCCTCCTGCTCCTTAATCCTTCAAAATTTGTAGAAAATACCAATCAAACATCTCTTTTCCTTTCCGTTTAATTTTAATTTGACCAAAATTAATAACAGTAATATGTCCTCTGATAGCGATTTCGATGAGAGCATGGTATCTACTCAATTCAGACACTCTCAAGTTAAGAATAAAAAGTACAGTAATTTACTAATTCGTCTGTCGTATTGTTCATTATGGTCCAGTATGATAGTGAAGCTGATTTCATGAGCACTATGAGTGGTAAACCATTTAAGGTAAAGAATATCATCGAAGACGATCGAGAACGGATCCTTACGGCTGTACTAACGGGACATGAATGGTTACTTTCATAGTCTAATGTTAAAGCTTATTAAACCCCTTCAACTACTAAAGGCTTATTTGCTTTGGGGTGTTCTATTGACAACCTTCGTATAGATAGCGACGAATACAATAGTACCGATGAATTGACAGACGACGTCTTCGTTGAAAAACCACAGCAAAAAGCTTATGAGGTTCAGTACTCTGTTTTAAGTGGAGATTCTCTGCAGTCTAAGCAAGATAAAGAAGTTTCTCAAGTATCATCTATTCTAGGTATATATAAAGGAAATTTACCTTAAAATTCTAGCAGAAGAAGTCAACATAAGTTAACTCTCATTTCTATTGAAGGGCTAACAAGGGAAGATTCAGCAACATTATTACGATATTTCCGTTGGAATAAAGAGAAACTGTTTGAACAATATATGGACTCATCCGAGAAAGTACTCAAACTAGCCGGAGTATCATCTATATCTGATTTAAAGCATGTTATTGTATTAGCCAAGGATTTGGATACCACTGAAGATTTTATGTGCAATATATGCTGCGATGACGACCCGGAGATGGAGACTGTCAGTGTGTCTTGTGGACATCGGTTTTGTAAAAGATGTTATACCCAATATCTTTGTCAAAAGATACGAGAGGAAGGCGAAAGTCGAAGAATTCAGTGCCCAGAGAGCGATTGTAATATTATTGTTGACGAAAAGACTGTCGAGCTATTAGTGGATTCAGCGACCTATTCCAAATATCGTGAATTATTAAATCGTACCTTTGTCGACGACAACGACTTTTTAAGATGGTGTCCCGCACCCGATTGCGAATATGCTATTGAGTGTCCTATACCAAGTACATCATTAATGTCAGTTGTACCAACCGTCGAATGTCATTGTGGCTGTCGCTTTTGCTTTGGCTGTGGTTTGGATGATCACCAACCATGCATTTGCATATTAGTAAAGAAATGGCTACAGAAATGTGAAGATGATTCTGAAACGGCTAATTGGATATCAGCTCATACAAAAGAATGCCCTAAATGTCATTCAACAATTGAAAAGAATGGCGGCTGTAACCATATGACTTGCAGAAAATGTAGATATGAATTTTGTTGGGTCTGTATGGGTAGAGTATCTCCATATATATTGTGCTTGATAAGCTCTAAAGGAGTCGCATATCTAATTTATGTGTCTTCCACAAATAGGACCATGGTCTGAGCATGGTACGTCATGGTATACTTGTAATCGATATGATGAAAAGAGCAGTGCTGAAGCAAGAGACAATCAAACACAATCCAGAGCCAGTTTAGAAAGATACCTCCATGTGAGTTATCCGCGAGACGCGTTCTATGCTATTTGCAAATGATACTTACATATAAAGCTGTCTATTAGTATTACAATCGTTACGCAAATCATGAACAATCAGCCAAATTGGATCAGGATCTATATCAGAAAACAGAAAAGAAAATGGAAGAGTTGCAGCAAACAAGCGATCTGTCATGGATTGAAGTACAATTCCTCAAAAAAGCAGTTGATGTTACAGTACAAAGCAGAACTACATTAAAATGGACTTACGCATTTGCTTTTTATCTCGACAGGACAAATGAAACAGAATTATTTGAGGTAAAATAACGCCTGTTCTTGTTGCACAAGAATTGGTAAACAATTAAAATCTATTTTCATTTTAGGATAATCAACGTGATTTGGAAATGGCAACAGAACAATTATCTGAGTTATTGGAAAAGCCTTTGGAGCCTGAAAAGATTGCAGAGTTGAGGCAAGCTGTTTTAGACAAGTCAGTTTATGTAAAGTCTAGAAGAGAGATTCTGTTAGAAGACACCGCTAAGGGGTTACAAGAAGGAAGATGGTCATATTTTATTGATTTGAAATAGAGATATCAAGTAAAAAACGGACATTTTTTTAGTGCACTTAGTTCAGTTCTTATTCTTCCCATCTTTTTTCATGAATAAACATTAGAAGAAGTGATCTAAAGGAATGAAATCCTGTAATGTAGCAAGGCTGCTTTTTTTTCTTTCGTTGCATTTTTTTTTTTTTTTTTTCTTTATGCCGTCTGCGAATCTTTGAAATCATCCATCATCTTCTGGATAGCTGTAGATAAAACAAACCATTACTTTATACTAAACATCGATTAGATAGATATGTGCACAACTCAACTACAAAATAAATTGCTAGTTGTTTGTTATACAATTATATTCCTTCCTAGCAGATCAACAATAACATTGTAGAGAGTGAGCAGTTCGTTAATAAATCCTAAAGCTCCCTTGAAACCCTAGCTGGAGGTAAATTAGGATTTATTAAGCGATGAACACGAGCTGTTCCTAAAGAGCTGTAAAATTGTAACCACCAGTTATGCAGTTGCTATATCGATAGCATATTAGGGCGGGTTTTGGAGTTAAAATGGCTGTTTTCGACATTATTTGAAGTTATATAAGCTTCCTATTAAGCAAACTAAGGTCTATACATTTAAAAAAATGCCCATGGAAAGTTTAGATGGATAAGCTGGAAAAGTTATAGTTTGGTATGTATTATGCCAAACGCATCCAGAAGGTGCTTGATCTCAATGCCAATAGTTTAACTTGTCAATTTACAGACTGAACAAGTTTTTTTAAGCAAGTTAAAATTTCTTCATAATGTTCCCAAAACTAGCGAGGGTCAATTACATATTATACATGGTTTTTTCTTTTTTAATGTAATCATTCATTATTAGTGCTAGTTCTTTACTTAGATATCACGATTGCGTTGGTATATTGTTCAAAATAATACGTCAGTATTCCTCGACAAAGCTGGTGGTTTGTAAACAAGCCTGCTTTCCATGTCACCATTCTCTACCCTCTCTTCTTCAATGCTACTTTCCGCTAGTTCTAATTCAACTTCATCTTTTTGGATATCATCGTCTAAATCTTGAAAAAAATCTATTCCTTTGTCAAAAGCTGAATGATTCTTAAATGGCGATTTCGCTTGCATTTCTAGAGCTTTGTCCAAAAGTTGTTGTATTTCTCGACTGCCCTTCTCCGTATAATGAAGTGCTTCGTGGTACTCTGCAATAGCCTTTGCATAATTCCCTTCTGAGTGATATATCTTGCCAGCGGTCGTGTGCGCGTCTGCATCTCGAGGGTTCCGTAATAATGCATTTCGACAGCACCTTAACGCATTTTGATAATTTTGAAAGCTTTTCAGATGTTTTATATTGAGATATGTCAGTTAATGTTAATAGTACAATTTCTGAGTGAATCATTTTGTTGGTCAAACTTACGGTGGATGCTGATAGACATTGCCCAAATCACACCAGATCTTTACCCATAAATTTTCATCCTCTATTTTCAACCTTTTTGCATGACGCAATGCTCTTTGCAAATATTTTCGCGCTTCTTCATAACTAGCAGAATAAGCAAACTGCTACATGAGTGCAGTATTTTTCTAAGCAAGCGTATCATATTCCACTTACTTCTCTATTTTGTAATAGTACATGCCATATTTCTCGTACAAATACGGATCGTCATCACTCTTCTCTAAGCTTCGTTGATAAATTTCTCCTGCCTTCTGTATATCGTTTCTTTCTAAATGTTGCTCCGCTAGGTACATTAACGGAAGATGTGAACTACTCAACATATTAAAAAATCATTGTTATTTCATAATGCAGCTAAAGTTAAACAAGAATATCATGACAGTCATCATTCAAGGACATACCCTGGTATTAATTTGCTACATGTCGTGTAAGCTTCAATGGCTTCCTCATAGTTATTAACGGCAGCAAATGCGTGGCCTAAACCCAGCCAAGATTGCTGAAAGAGACGGTTGATTTGCAGGGCTTGCTTAAAAAACTGTTGCGCTTTATCACTATTTTTCACATATAAATAATATAGACCAACTGCATGCCATGCTATTTCACTCTTATTCATCTTGTCTACGAGATGTTTAGCATATTCGTATAATTCTGTTTTCAGACCAAGCTTGTATAAACAATCCAATCGCAGCGGTATCGCTTCCTTGAAATATGGATCTTGCTCCTTTAAACTAAAGAAAAGTCAACCTTGCTTTTAATCCATCTGAACCTAACACTTCATTGCACTGCTTACATACTCCTCGCAAACTTTGAAGCATTCTGTCAGTCTACTCTCCCGGTGAAGCTTCATCGCTTTATTCAATTTTACATCAACGCTATCCTCCAGCAATTTCATCTCTGTAGGTGTTGCATGCAATGTCTGTTTTTTCATTTTAATCCGGTACATATAACGGAAAAATGTGGCCAAACTTCCACAGTGCTCGTCGTATGAAAGAGTCTCAACGAATTCCCAATCTTAATATACCGTTAGTATTCCAAATTCATTATTCAATGCTTGAGTATTTGTCTTTTTTTCTTCTTATTACCTGTCTTCTCATCCAACATATTATTTTGAATCAATAATAGTAAAGCATCATAACATTTTACATCGATTTTCAAGGCTTCCTTGAAGCATTCTCTTGCTTTTGCCTCTTCGTGAGCCAGCATAAACGCTTTTCCACGGGCCAAACACATTACAGCAGCAGTGAATCTATCTTCAGCGTCATAATCTGCTTGTGAATCTATAAGTATTATTCTCATCATCAGCAATTTATTGTCAGCCATCCCTCCTTAACACTTTCTCATTACCTGTATCTTTGAAAGGATTTTCTCGTCCCAGATAGGCCAGTGCGTCTTCAGCATGACCTAAAGCGATCTGATAAGTTGTTTAGTTATTCTCTCTCTCTTTGTCGTTACAAATAGGTCTATGTATTCTTTCATTCAATGTTTACCGAACAAAGACCTGCCAAATATCTGAATTTTACACTTGTGTTTAAAAGAGCATCTTTGTTCAAAAGTTCCAAAGCTCTTTCATATTCTTTACTCTTATAATAAGATTGCGCCAGTTGATACAAATCGTCTGGTTCGCCTAAAGGCACATGAATTAACTCACACATTAAGTAGCTCTTTTTTTGCTTATATACAGCTTCATCGTATACAAAAATGAGGAGCTGCCTGATAATAGTAGCGCATATGGCTTTGTTTATTATATCTGCTCTCTTTACCTATCATAATGACCAATTTTTCACTTATAAAGTTTGCTAACTCTGTTACATCATAGTTTTGGGCCTGTTGCAGTAGCCGCTTTAACTCTCCTTCAGTGGTCGTTGTTTGAGCAACATCAAAAGTCTCATGTTCAACTGGGACATTAGTTGAATCGACCATGACAGAGAAATCGTCCAAGTCTGCGTCTACGTTCATGGTCATTTGGGTGAATCAAACAAAGATCGATGAAAAAGTAAATGACAAGAATCAATATCAAGCATAACCAGAAGTAAAGAAAATACTTTTATTAATATTACCAAAATCCATACTAAGGCCACAGTGTATTATGTTAGATGAAATAGATATAAATGAGTAAGGGAAATTAAGTAACTGAAAAGAGTTTGCATAAAGAAATCAAGGCACGCAAAACGCGGAAAAAAAAGCACCGCGTTTGTTCAAATGTTCCACTTATTTTTCACTTACCATCGCACGCATCAAATCAACGACAAACGTTTCACTTATGTTACAGAAAGGAAGAACTTGGGGACTTTATTGTTGTCCTTTTAACAAAACAAAAAAAGAAAAGTCTAGGTGTATAAAATAAGTTATGTTTCGACCTCAAAGAGTTTACAGTAAAGGATGAGAAGACAACAAAAAACGATGGCTACTTTTACAATTTAGCTTGAGCAGGAAGCTCAGTCATCAAAAGATCACGCAAATCATCGCAAGCTTCCTCAAGACACTGCTTAAATTGATAGGTTCCTCTAACATATTTCTTACCGTGCACTTCGAGATCTTTAACACTTGCAATATTGAATTGAAGAGCATTGTTTTTGATCATGTAAGCGCAGCCAAAACCATCATTTACAACCTGGCCCCAACCATAACCGTCAAAATGTTCAGACGTTAATTGAGAAGTAGAAAGATACCAGTGGCTTGAATAAGCATAAGCAGGATCACGGAAAATGGCAGGTACAGGCTCTCCAGACTTTAAACAGTTCTTTAAACCGAACAAATGACGATCCACACCGTGAGCGTTAACAGCAGAAGCCATATATTGACCTTGGGCTTTAAGAGCAGCACGCAACAGAGCGATCTTTTTTTCATTAGGTAGTGTAGGATCCTCCATAGCCTTCACGAAAGCCACAGACTCATCTGTCACAGTACGAGCTGTTTCAGTACGTCCGCGTTGGAACTTACGGGTTTGGGCGGATTCGTAAGTAGGACGGGATACGCCAAAGCATTTGTAGTAAGCTAGTTGAATAGCCATTTGAACGAAACCATCAGGTGAAGACCTGAATTTTTTGATTAAGTTCTTTCCGAAAGATTGATAGGCTAGTACAGTCATTTCATGGCGAGCAATCAAGTCATCGAAGTGAGTCTCAGCAGCTTGAATAGCATGCTCAAGGTCCTTATTCAGAACAAAAGATAACTCTTCAGGGTGGGGTATGTTTCCGCGGATTTGTTCGCTGCCATGCTTGATTAAGTTTCTGTTCAATCTACGTTGACGAACCAAACAAACATATTTGTCCATATTAGTCCACTTTCTTTCCATCTTTATCCGAAAAGCTGTTTTACCCGTCACAAACATATTCATTCAAACGACAAGTTGCTGTACCATCCATACAAGAGTGCTATTTTCGAGTAAAAGAAAAAATTATGTCAGCATTTTTTAGGTTCATAAATGGTAATATGTGCACACATGAAGCTAAGTCATTTAGGATTATGTTAAGAAATCATAAGCTTACCTCACCAATGAATCCTGCTTTGCCGTTATCAAAAACAATGAATTGCACAGGTTTATCAAAGTAACGGTTACGGCCATCACCATGCCAGCAAGCTCGACATAAATCATCACGGTATTTGGGTGATGAGTCGTCAAGACAGACAACGAATGAAGCGGTTTCAATCTTGTCTATCACTTGCTTGTTGCGAGGGTTGGCTTTAAGCAATGCTTGGCGAACCTTTGCAATTCGATAATCATCAGAAATAGGCAACTCTACTATTTATCATCCACTCCCTGTAACACTTACATCAGTCCAAACATCTCGGTTTTCAGAAGTCAAAACACCCACAGGAATGCCTTTCAAGCCGCCAGCTTGATCGATGACTCGTTGAAATTGCTGTTCTAACTCCTTGGTGCTGAGCTGTTTTCCATTGTAAACTGTGTCAACGAAATAGAATTTATTCTTACGAATGGCAATGATGTGGGTATTCTGATGAGGATCAAAAATAGCGGCTTCATCACTAGGTTTTTTGGCAATACGACAGTTATTAAACATATATTTGTAAGAATCCATGCATAAGGGTTCACCCTTAGCATATTCAGGTTCTAAAGTGTTATCGACAACTTGCTTCTTGAATTCCAAAGCAGCAGTAGTGATAGCAGCAGCACGCTGAGCAGGAAGCTTACGGAATTTATCATCCTTATAAGCAAAGAAATAAGATACATAGATGACTACGGGGTCACGATACCCCATGTAAGCCTGATCGTTCCACCACTCTTCCATCCAGTTGACGACACTGGGGTCTTTAGCACGGGCAACTAGACGCTTTTGCAATTCTTGGCCTAATCCTCCGGGAGCTTCAAACTCCTTGACGGCTTGCTCGGTACGCTTATACTCTTCCTCGGTCAAAAGAGGATGTACAGACTTGAGATATTTTCTCAATGTATCTGAGAGAGGAGGAACTGGTAATTTCGGAAGGTTCTTTTGATAACGGAGCATAGGTCCAGCTGCAGTTGAATCGACAGGTGTTTTAGGTGTCTATAACAATATTTTGATGAAATTGTGTTTAGCATTGTATAAAGTTCAACATTATGAAAGCTGAAAGCTTACGGGTGGCATCGTAGTAAATTTATCTTTTATTTGAAAAGAAAGAATTAAGAAATGGACATCGCACTAATAACAACAATTTTTTGCGGGGTAGCAAATGTACGGAGACTGTAGAAAAGCCGTCAGCATGAACGATGAAAAAAGACTGGTGAAAAAAATTCAGGGCGATCGACCATATAAAGCAAGTACCTTTCCTGTTTAGTCATTATTTAAGGGGATTGACCCTGCCTATTTTCTCACAATTCTTTTCACTTATGCAGCTTCAGCGGTTAAACGATATGGCGGTCTTCCTCGCTTTGAAAATGTCATATCCGATTATATTAATAGACAAAGATATGTCATATATCACCTTGTCGGCTATCCAAGACGTTAAATAGGCTTTGTGCTGAGGCTAAAAACTATTTTATACACTGTGATCTCCACTATCGAAATTAGGTTACTTATTATTTTTCCAACCTTATCTTCAGCTATTTGCCATTCCATTAGATCAAATAGCAAGAATTACCACCGCTCCTTAAACCTTCCACTAATAGGCGAATGGAAGAACACTCTGTAGTATTGAAATGAATAGCAGTCTGGAAACGTGTTCAAGATACTGGTTTTTGGTTTGCTGCAATAATTTTCTTGTAGCGTTCCCTTTTCATTGACACTGAGGGTGAGATAAGCTTTTTTAATTTTTCTTCTGCAGAATAGAGCGCACTTCTATGCTTAAGGTAGTCATAGAGAGCGTATTAGAAAATTCTGGTCATCGAGAGTTTTCCTTAATTCGTTCAAGGAAATCCTTTTGCATGCGGCCTTCTTGATCGCATAATAATCAAAGAAGGATACATTGTCCTTTTCGTTATAAATTGCTTGTTTGTCCAAAGTTCATCTGCTGCTTTTAGATTATACTCTTCCAAAGCATTGGTTATATCATTGCTACTCCGTTCGGTGTCATTGCTCAACTTTTTCATATACGCGAACATTTTCCTGTGGAATGCATTGTTTTACCTGCGTAGTGTCTATGTAGTGTTAAGAATATTTAAATAGGGTTTATTTGGACACCTTTTACTTCTTCTTGTCTCTCTTATATCACAGGATCTATATTATGCTTCAGCTTCTTTGTGAAGCCTTGTAGATACCTTTTGCACTGATACTTTTTACTTTCGAACAAATTTAACTATGTTATGTTCCTTTGATAAGCGATACAGCACTTAATATCAGAAAGAAACGAAAACTGAAAGATATCATGTTATAATATTAATTTTCTTAATGATATTCATAGAGTTTAGAGGGTTTATGCATATACATATGCTAAATTTGAGATGGAGCGTTTTGATGCGTTTAATATTTCTTGAGTTCTGTGCTTATAATCCCGCTAATAGCCATACTCATCTGCACCGGAATAATATGCCTATCCACAACTTACGAAGATCTGCGAAAAAAAGGGAATAAGTCTTCATCAAAATAAATCATGAACAAAAATAAAGCTTGGCTCAAAGATCTTGTACCACTTTGGAGTCCGAAGTGGAGACAACAAGGATTGTGTTATGCACAACAAACAATCCAATATGCGAAATTCAAGTACAAAGATTGCTTGTGCCACAAATAAAGAAGGATAAGGAGAAGAAGAAATAGCATAATTAAAAAAAAAAATAGAAAATAATCTGTTTTCACCATTCATCTTTTACACAGATTAAAAAAAAAGCGATGTCCGATTTACTCAAGCGTAAGTATATCGCCTTTTTCTTTTTGGCGCAATGTAATGAAAACTTCATTTTTTTTTTAGTTATGGAAGAATATATCGAAGCTGATCGATACCCAAGCTTGATAAAATTCTGTTCTGGTAACGAAGGGCTTGTAAAGTCATACATTAGACATTTTGACACGGCTGCTGCAGCAAAAAAAAACCTGCAAAATAAAATGGGACTGGCTCATCACAATGTCCACAAGGGCAAGAAAAGAAGCCCTGGTTTGCAGGTTGACGTCGATACATTATTTGCAGAGGCAAAAGCTGCTACCGCCATTACAGTAGCTGGTTGGGAAAGCTTGGCTGCTTCAGTAGAGCAAGCACAAGAAAAATTAACATCAACTCAGGTTAGCTCCTAAAACGTGCAAAGATCTGATTAAAATTACAAGTATTTAATAATGTTAATAGGCCGAGGGCAATGAAGTTGAGAGTGCCCATGAGAATGCTGAAGATGGACAGACTGATGAGGGCTATCCAACTTTGTTGGATCAATTTGTTCAGTATAAAAAGGCAGCTGAGCTCATAGCGAAGGAAAGAGGTTTCTACGTCGATGGCAACCTTCATGAAATCGCGTAAGTTTAATCCTCCTAGTGACAAAGAAAAAGACTAGTGTTTAACATTGACTCCATAGCTGTTTGAATGATGTTTTGTTCTTGAAAGAGAACGAATACAGCGATGAGCAACTCAGCCATTTTGGTTTTACAAACTTGGAAGAACTTCGTGGTCATATAATCGAAGAATATATGGATCAAAATGAGAAATTCGATGACTCTTTTTTTCATCAAATTTCTGAAATTTTGAGGGTAAGACATGGTGAAAGATAGTCTTTATACATTATTTGGCTGTTAATATTCGCGTTTTATTTTTCTACAGAATTTCCGTCCTCAAGACGGTAGAAGACGAGCGAAACAACAACTTAACGAGTTGTTAAAAGGAGCCGATGATGTGGATTATAAATTAATCGAAATCCTGATCAACTGGTGAGCTTTCAAAATGATTCGATTAATAGTAAATAACTCTCTAGTAATTTTCATTATGGTAAGAATAGCTTTAACAAACTCCCTCTCTTCAGCCGGTTGGATGAAGAAATTGGTGAAGCAGAATTGCAAGGCAATTATATTGACCCCATCGTTTATCCTATGTTTCACGACCCAGAAGATAACATCTATTTTCGATGGTATGCGAATATTATGTACTGTCAAACATACATTAACTAATTGGTAGTCTTTTGTATGTGTTTTTCTATTAAAATAGGCTAAATAGACAAACTCAAGATACGGAAGCAAGAAGACCAGATGGTCACATCTACAAGATGAAACAGAGGAGAATTGTTTGCTCAGTTGGATTTGTGGAAGTTAAAGCTGAAAAAAGCAATTCCCTCAAACAACATGAAGATATGCTTAGACTCATCGCCTTTTGTAAGGACGCTCTAGAAAATCAAAGTAGAAAAGAAACTATGATTGCTGTGCAAGTTGTTGGTAAGAGTTTGTAGGCTGATAAGTAGGCTTAATTCTACTAAGGTTTCTTACAACTCTAACGCACTATTTCGTGATGCAGGATGTTATATCTCCTTCTATATTTTTGTTCGCGTAGATGGCTTATATTTGATGGTTGACCTATTATCGTTCGAAACAGCGAAGCATATTGGTGAACTTCCGCTGCTGCTCAATTTTTTCGATAAGTTGAAGCGAATAATGATTTGCAGTAGGGTTAATGGCCTCGCAAATCAAGAAATGAATAGAAAAAGAAATTCAAGTGTAGACCAGGCAACACTTCTAAGGATCAGTAATATCAAGAAACCGAGAAGTTTATCAGCCTCCTTGTCATTCAAAAAATAAATACTTTGAAAATTGTATTTTTAAGCGGATTATACTCTTCTACTCTCTCTTCATTATTATTATATCTATAGACTTATTCCTTTTCACTTTACTGTATATGCTATAGTGAACATAAAAACTATAAGAATAAAGAAACATACTACTATAAGCTCCACATCAGCATCACCATCGGATCTCTGCTTTACATATTTTGCTCTGGTCTATCACCAATTTATATTGATGGTGTGGTTAGCTTTTATTCCAGGCGCATGCTATTTGATTTATATACTTCTCAATATATTCTGAACGGAGCAGTGCATTTATAGTCACTATGCGCTCAATGGTTCTTTATGTATAAACCTTGAATTTAATCGTATCAAAATTGTTCCAAAACTTCGCTTTTAAAAGTATGTCCCAAGTTTTCTTAGCTATCCCAAGAATTTACAGACTATCCCTTTTTTCAAATAGCACAAAGAAAATTTAGAGTCGATCCTGTTTCCTTCAGCTGTAGAGAAAAACGTAATTCAAGATATTGAAAGCAATATTGTCTATGGAAATTGGCCGTGAAGACATATTTGATGAAACTGGCGCTGAAGGTATAGATGCAGTAAATGAGAAACTTGATCCCCTTGCTATCAAACAGCTGGTCAGCCTTGACACGTATCTTGGAAATGCCCCTAGCTCTTCATTTGAAGAGCAACATTAGCAATGGACGCTCCGGCACAGGATCCTTCAAAAAACTTAATGTAAGATTACTAAAATACGCTAATTTTAGATAAGAGCGGCCGACATCTAGGCAGGCGTGAAAGAAAATACTGCACCAGCTTGGTGGAAAAATTAAATGTATTTATTTGTCTAGGACATGAAAACTAACCGTCAAAGCAGACAGGTATCTCAATTACAGGATGACCACAAGAATTCTACTATTCAATTTTCGACAAGAACCCGGCTGCAAATACTCAGGATGTTGTTGCAATGTTTACCAAGAAGTTTTGAGTATGTAATGGTCAAAGGGGTACGAGTTTATGCGGGACGAATGCAATTTGAGGTTAAAGCAAACGCCTTATAGTCGGAGGCACGGGCAAGTCTAAATACCATAATAAAACGCCGCCATTGGGCTTGATCGGAAGTAGTAATTTATTACACGTATTAAAGTAGAAAAGCTCCTCAATGAGAAAAGCAGAGATTACTGCCGCCTTACTTTCTCGAGCTTAACCTTCTTCCAGATACCAAAATTCTCAGAAGTACTGGTTTTTTCCTTATGTTTGTCGGCCTTCGAATTTAAGCTGGCAGGCTTTGAAATAAAAATTGCGGCCTTTGATTTTAAAATTTGCAGCCTTGGACTCTATTTGGCATCTGTTGCCCAACCGCCTTCCCTTTTTTTTTCGCCTTACAGATGGCAGGCTTTGAATTCGAAGTGCATTGCTTGCCATATACTTTACGGCTTTTGCCTTTTCAAACTACAATTGCTTGCGCAAGCTTATGCGCATGTTGGCAATACACATCAAGCTTTCTTGGGAGTAAGAAGCACAAATATCTTTCTCTCTGTACTTTCTGAGAGTCACACAGTTTATAATACATATTGTTATTTGGAACAAAAAGACTTATAGAACAAAACATTATATGCAGCTCCAATGACCGAAAAGTAAAATTGTAAAAGATTACCACTATGAGAATGCACTTCTGAAATTGAGTGCAAGATGCAGATACTTTATTGTTATATGATGAAATATTAATGTGACGGAGAAGTAGTGTTATTAATGAATCACAGTATTGTATAGAGAAATGAAGATTACAGTAATTATAGAAATGTAACAGTTACATAAGAGGAGACAATATTATCTAATCTTGCTTCCGCGCCAAAGAGCCCGTAACGAATTGCAAATGCTTCAGTGCATTAATGTATGGTGCTGACGCCGACAAACATAAGGAAAAAACCAGTAGTTCCCTAAATGCTTAAATAATGTTTTAATTTAGTCCAATTTATACATGGTTTTTTTTTGCCTCAAAATATCACTTCAAAACCCGCGAATTTATTGTATTGAAGAACGACTATATCAACTATGGCATCGTTTGAAGGGTAGTGTCCCAAACCAGATACTGCTCGATTGAACAAACTCACGACTGAGATGTGTGATTTCCTTTTCGAACAGGGCGAAAAAAGGTTGTGTATTGATGCAAATCGCAGAGATTACTGACTCAATACACGTCTTAACTCCTCATTTCCAATTCCCATATCCAAACGTACTTCGCAAGAACTTCACCATAAACCAAAGCTATACAAAATAGTCCAAATTATAAAGGGTTTTATCACACGCCTGAATGTAATACCTACTATAATTCTACACTTGCTACGGACGAACTAGATTTCGCATTTAGAAGTCGACAAAGCGGTTTATACATCTTTATCATATTTCTTTTGTTTACATTTGAAATTAAAGAAATTAATACATCCGTCGCCGAGTATGGACGAAAGATATGTTAAGAGAATCTCCGCGATGCACCTCCAGTATTCGTTGGTTTTAACAATGAGGATCAAATAAAAAGTCATACAAGACAAGATAAGCACGAAACCTACATCAAACCACCGTCTTTTATTTCTCTTCCAAAATACAACAAAGAAAAAGAAAAGAAGACTAAAACTTCTGCTATTAACAAAGGATTATACTGTTTGCTGTCTACTAAATACATGTATCGGGATCTAAAGCTGACACTGATGTTTTATGGACAGATAATATTCAATGAATCATAGATTTTCGTAAAAGAATAGGTTTTTCCTTTAGATGGATAATTACTCGTCTATTCCGGAGCAGATTAAATTGTAATAAGTTATCTGACAAATTCGGGGTGATCAGGCCGCTATCTATAATTCAATATCTATTAGCCACTAGTTGTGTTAGGAAAAGATATTCGTGTGTGGTATCATTTTGATTGCGAGAACCGTTGTTGTGTTAATAAAGAGTGATTGAGCCTTTTTATCTCCAACCATACTTTATTTCCAGAGCAGGGAGCAGTACTATGACCTACTATGATCTGGTTGTTGAATCAATATACCCTACGAGTACATATACCAATCCTGCTATATACCTAAATGTCATATAGTCATAGATAATCTATGTAAAATATATTTCATAAAGATAACCTGTTCAAATCTTATGTGATGTAGCTAATCTCCCATAAGAATTATCCTTAATCCATATTCTTTTCTTATTTTATATTTGTTGTTATACATTTGATCTAAAGGTTCAAATGTATGCAATTGAACACACTGCTTACTAAGCGGGAACGAAGATATGAGCAGTACTCATATCTGAGATCAAGTTTTATTTTACATTTCGTTAGACGTTTTGAGTGATTTACTCATATAACATATTGCCATCATGCCTCAAATACGACAGTGCCCCCCAGTTAGACGGCTGTTGATCTGAAAAGATGCAACTTAGCGTCGATGGAGAATAGGAGATGAGGTAGATGAAAAGCAGTAAGAAGGTTTAAATGAGTTTGTTATAGACAAATGCAATTAGTGGCAGATTGTCGAAATGTGTGACGTATTGCAAATGTGGAAATGGAATACCAAAAAAAAATAAAAAATTGTGGGGTTCATTGTTGGTTTGTATCCTTTTTATTTTTTCACTAGTGCAAAACAATAGATGTTAATTACAGAAGTGATTGATTACTTGCAGAATCGAGTTTTGTCAGTGGCAGGTTCAAATGTGTGCACCGAACGACCACGAGGAGTGCGACGAAAAGTTTTGTGAGCAGGATTATTCGCTACCACTTTTGTACGGCGAGAGGGACCTTTGAAAGATTTCTGTCGTTGTTGAAGAGGAATGGAAAAATTGGGTACGTCTGTGATTGCGTCAACAAATTGTTCAACGTGTTTAATGAACGGGGCCACTTTTTGTCAATTCAACCGTGGAGTAATCGTGTTCACCAGACATCAACTGATTTAACAGTACAGAATCTTGTTTAGGCACACTACCTTTAACTTGACGCCAATATTCCACAAATTGTGGGTCAGTGAAGTTTTCGGCAGTAATCCATGTATTATTTTCAGGACCGTAATTCTTCCAACCGACACGATATTCACGTTTTTCTGGAGAGCCACGATGACCAACAATGTTGTCAAATTCATAAATCTCATCCTGAGAAACAAGTGCATTTTGCGAAACAACTCTAGTTTAGATGGTGCATAATCGCGTGAGGAAGCAACACCCATTTCATCACGGAGAGTGTGGTTACCAGCCTCAGTTTTGCGAATGATCTATGGACCTTCATATTGAGGTGTGAGAGATTTTTGAATGCCTTTCTTTTGAACCACAACATAACTATCGACAGGAAAGTCAATTCAAACGATGCTTTTTGTCAAATTGACTTTTCATCATTTTGTTATATATCTCGGTACGTTCTTTGATTGCGTGGAAGACTACATCTGATATATATTGAATACGTTGCAGAAGTTCATCATTCGACATGGGTTTAATGTTGTCGTTAGAGTCAAAGAGTAATGGATACTCATTGGACATTTTACGAGCAAACATCAGGTTAAAAGGGCTAGTAAGTAAACGTTTAGATATTTTACAATTGAGCATCAATTGTACAGAATTGATCATCGTATCCCAATTGTCTTCAGAATTGCCAAGGATTAGTTTGGAAAGTAATTTTTTTGTGTTCTGAACGGCACTTTCAGATCCACCATTGCTTTGAACATAGTAAGCTGTACTCAAACGTTTGTCAATTTTCATAGCCTCACATAGAGTGTTGAGGATCTGATTTTTTCATTCAGTACCATTGTCAGAATGAATGATGCGAGGATAACCGACAAGTGAAAAGATGGAAATGAGTTCTTCAGCTACTGTTTTAGCAGACTTATCACGAATAGGGCGTAGAATAAGAAAGCGAGTAGCGACATCGATGAGAACCAAAATATATGTGTTGCCGTTAGTTGTGATGGGAAAAGGACCACATAAATCCATTTGGTAATGCCATCCAGGAGTATAACAGTAGATGGGTTTTAACGGATTATATCCTTTCTTGCTGATGGTAAACTTTTGGCAAGTTGCGCATTGTTTTACAACCTCTAAAGCTTCCTTCATTAGGTTAGGCCAGTTCATACCTAGATCTTTTCTCATATGTTGTACGATAGCTTCACTACCGAAATGACCAAATTC